TATGGTGATAATTACAAGGTCCTCGTATCAATAACTTGTCAAAAGTGTATGTCCTCATGAGCGTCAATATATACATTAAATGTAACATCAAGTTGATGTGACTTACATACATGTCAAGTTTTTTACGAAAATAGCAACATCAATAGTCACGTCAAACTTTTCAACATGCATGAAATTCTTATCATATTGACGTAGTATTAACATGAAAGAGTCAATAAGTGTGCTACCTGGGTAGTGTCTTTATCTCTGGAGAGAGAAGTAAAGGGATTTCCCAAGTAGCACTCTATAAGGGGAGGCAGCTGGGAAAGAGCTGAGTGTACTCCTTTAGGATAAGAGGAGAGAATTATTGGAGTCTCAACTGGGAATGTCACGCATCTTGCAGCTGAGTAGCAGCAGAGAAAGTATGTAGAAGAGAACTGCTGTAGCTCAGCTGTGCTGGAAGCATATGCTCTGTTGCAGTGCAGCAGGGCAGGTCAATTTCCAGCACAGCTGGATCACAGCTGAGCTACAGCAGTTCTTCTCTTCTATTTTTCTGCTGCTACTCAGCTGCATAACGTGTGACATTCCCACTTGAGAATATGCTGATTTTCTCCCCTTTTTCACAGATGCATCCCAGCAGAGTGTGCTACCTGGGAATATCTCGCCACATTCACTAGACAAAGTAAGTGTAAGATTGAATATATGCTAATTTATATATACTGTCAAATCTTCTTAACGGCGCATGCCTGCCATTTTGCACAGAGAGTGTTGGAAATTCATTACACGTTACAGGCCTTGACAACCCGGAGCAGCATGTCAGGCCCGGGCCCCTGCGTCTGCTAGCATATTCCGTAGCCCCCTCCTCGGCCTGCAAACTGTTCTCAGATCGGGGGTCGGTCCCCTCGGACAGATCCGAGTCACGCTGTAGGAGTCGGACATCTTACGTCCTTCCGGCCTAGTTTTCGTCATTCTGGTGAGACCCGTCATCGCCCTGGCACGGTTGGTGGAGCCCGATATTCTTGTGATGGGCTTGAAATAAGCCCGAGGGCAAGAACAAGCTTTAAAAAGGGGTCCGAAGCCGCACTAGAGAGGATTCCACGCCAAACAGTTATACGGAGAGGTTGTGCCTGGGAATTCCAGACCGGGCGGACACCCAGAACAGTTGTGCCAAGAGAAGACGAGCAGCACTACAAGCCTTCTAGAGACTACCCCCAGTGAGGGGCATACTCGTACTGTCTTCCATCAACACACCCCCAGGACGTGAGAAGTGTATTGCCTCCATATCTACATTGTTCTTAATATTGTTAAATCACTCTGTTGATATGTTATAATAACCTGTGATTAAAAGGCTCAGGGTGTATAGTGACGGACTCTTGAATCCTTCCTTGTTATAATGTATTAAGGCCGTGGGCCAAAGTGATCGAGACCGCCTGGGTCCGAATCACCCGCTACCACTTACTTCTTCCAACCTTATTGCACAGGGATCGGTATCACAATCATAATAATTTGCCAGCTTCCGAAGAGTAATAGTAAAAGCACACACCGAACCTGTGACATTCTCACTGGTTCGGTGTCAAAGGCCAAAGAGTGAGTAAGAGGCCGCGACCCTTTCCCAGCCCCATTTGGCCCATCATTCCCCAAAATAGGTTGACTCTCTAGCTTTTTCTGCTCAACATACACTGTTTTCGGATTGAATCGATACCCCTCCTGTTGTGGAGAACGGAGAAAACACAAGCTTTCCAGACGACCCTCTAGATGTCAAGCCAGCTGCTTCGCACGGTTGTTGGATGGTTCTATTAATACTTCACCTTCCATCCGCAAGGTGTCCTGCCTGTACTTTATGGAAGCTCTCCTACCCAGGTAACACAGAACATTGAATCAACATTGATTGGATGTGGATTAAGTGTGCAAATGATGAGGGTTGAAGGTGAACATTGTTTCAATGTTGATGGAATGTCGTCACATCACATTGTGGATTCCAATTGGGGAATATTCGGATTACATTTATTAGATATGGCATAATTATTAACCCCTCTTAAAATGATGAATAGTTGGACCTCTCCAATAGGTTTTCAGAGTACTATCAACCTATCACATGGTTTTAATGTTGAAAAAATTAAACTCCTCAACTATTGATTTGTATGCCGTCTATTATCATGTATTTGAATAGTGATTTTTTTTTTAAATTCGGAAACAAATATATAAACCATTTCCAATTATCCTACGGTCATCGCTGAGTCGTCTTGCATCCTCTTATGGACGTTATGTTACCAGGGTAGTGTAATCTAGGCGCGATCATAATAAAGTACCAAGAGCCCTCACTAGATGGTATCCATGTTCCCATATAGCCTCCTAATGCAATTACGGATCTGTCACCTTCCATTAAAGCGTTTTCTTCCTACTTTCCTCTTTTTATTACGTAATTAATACAAATATATTAGAGAAATGTGGAATTATTATGTTCTGATTGCAGCATCTGATTCTGAAACAAATTAAATGTCCAGGTTTAGTGTGGGCGCATAGAAGTCTAGGTGATTGGAGACGTGTAGAGCACACAGAAGAATAACCTAAAGTGGTCCATTCACGAATCCCCTAAAAGAGAAGCATAGAGAATTTATCCTTGTCTTGTAAATGGTTCAGGCACACAAAGTTTCGGTGGTGTTTGCAGAACTAAAGAGAACCCAATTCTCTCAAACTTCTCAGTACTCACAGAGTACTGACCTATAGAAACTGATGAGGATTAGTCCTCTTTAGTATATATATCATCATCCGTCATGCGATTCATTTTAATGAATTTACCTCACCTTTGATCCATGGAGGAACCCAATTACCAGGGACTCATTGAGGAATGTTGAATGAATGTTGCCATCAATATTGTTTCAACATTAACAAGGAATGTTGAAACAATGTTGATAAAAATGACATTTTCTCATTGAATCAATGTGGTACCTCAATGTTGTTTCAACATTATAAATGTTGCCACGAAACATTGTTTCAATGTTGTTTCCACATGGATGTGTTACCTGGGTACATGTTAATTATATGTTAATATTATATGTTAATTTAACAATTCAAACCGAAAACAGTGTAGACGAAATGCGGCTCAATTGGTCTGTGTTTATCGCTTCTTCTCTGTAGTTAGTTTGGGTTTAGTGGAAACCCAAAAGAGCTGGTGAAGCGTTAGTCTGAGTCTCTAGCTCCGAAGTGATTTAAGATTTAAGATAGTGACATCAAGAGGCGATTTCGCCCATTTCGATATCACGTGTCGAGGTCGAGCGTTCCTTAATTTTAGGGTAGGCCTAACCCTCTTAAAGCTAAATATTTTTGTATTTTTGTATTTATTATTATTTTTTTTTACTATCCTAGTTGCTTACTGTCTAGTACCTAACGTCAACATTGCCCCCCACCTTTTTGCCTGTCCATGAAAGCATCCAGTNTAACCTTCGTTCGAGCGAGTACAGTCCCAACACTTCTAAACGTTTCTCGTATGATAGTCCCCTGACCTCCTTAATCGTAAGCGTAATCTATATTTTTTCAAGTCCACCCGAGATTGATGTATAATATTGCTCTGAAGCGATTGGTGCTTGAGAAATGGGAGCGCTTCGCCTGATTAACATTACTCAGCGGGAGAATGGGAAAATACAGCAATAGCCTTTTCTGTTGCAACAAAAAAGGGGCGTTCTCGGCTTCCATTCAATATGGCTGCCTCTACGTCCAGTGTTCTCCATATAAAATAAAGCAATGGTATAATCCCAAATGCGCTACTCAGGCTAAGCACATCCCTTTCTCAAGCATCAGTCGCCTCAGAGCAACTTTATACCTCAATCTCAGGTAGTCTTGAAAAATCCTCCGAGGGGAGAGATTCTAAACGTGTTCCCTAATGTAGCCAATGGTAACCCTTTGGATGCCACACTGCCACTTCGGTGGCCACAGGGTGGTGTGCCACCACTGGAGAGTATGATGTGCAAAGGGTTAAGAGCCTCATCTTTTGCCTGGCCGTACTTACCGATTGTACAGGAGATTTCCCATAGCATCTCTAATAATCATCACTGCAGTTATGTGTCATGAAAGAGATATATGTCTGTGTACATCCATTCTCCAGGCTAACTCATTTTTGCAATCTTATTTTCTTCATGAGCTATACATTTACCTCCTTTTTCATTTGAATTTCCATGGAGGAAGATTGGCAAATTTTTTTTCCCACAGATGGTGGAACCACAATAGTTGCAATGAAGATAGAGAAATAACCTATCAGTAGGTTCTACTTCAAAGGTGGGATAATGAATGAGACAAGACTCAAGAGTGATCTGATTTCGAAGACATTAGGGGATTACCTCTTGAAAGGATATCGAATGCTGAATGCTACATGTGAAGCATGTGGTGTGAGTTAACGTTCAACCCCCATTTTTTAGGTAAATGAGTATTCCATGTTGATCCATTATTTGATGGTACTTAGACTGTGCTGCTCCAAGACAAAGACAAGAACTTGCTCTGTGTTGCATGCAAAGAGATTGATCCTCCAAGATCTCTTCCAGAGACTGTACTAACTTTGGGGGAGTCAAGTTTGGGTAAGTAACATGTCACTATTTTCCTCCTTAAGTTGCCTTTCATCCAAATTTCATTATTGCTGTAGGAGGGGGCACTACATCAGTGCAGATAGCACCCTCTGCACCACATGGCCTAGTTGGTGACCACAAGGGAAACAAAAGAGAGTCTTACACCCGTCACTCCCATGCTGTTTCTGTTCTCCATACACGCCTTCAAGGTGCAATTTCTGAACTAGAAGGAACTCCTAGCACAGAGCATGCTGCCTCACTATGTGATCTTATCAAGAGATGTGCAGATGCCATTGTGGCAGTCAATAAGATGGAGATGTGTCTGGAGACTCCAAATCCTCTATTTTGAATGATGCTGCTATGCTTACCACTTGTTGCCATGTTTACAGCCATTCAATTAATACCCCTCACAGTACATTTATCCTCTGAATAAAATGGAAGCACAATGTCCAAATTGAGTTTTCATACCAAAGACATCACAGAACATGACATTACTCAAAATCATGGGAAATGAAACAGAGCTGAAGGCAAGTTCAACAGATGAATCCTGGATGACAAGCAGAAAAGTATTCAAGCAGACTCAACTTCAGGTTCTGCTGCAGCAGATGACTTGGAAAGGAAGATGACATCATCAGCTACAATCGTCGTTGTACTACGTTGAACCCCATTGGCATCAACAATATCTCCATACATAAGCCTTCCCTGCACAAAAACTCGCTGTCCTTTTCCCATGTACTGATACACAGCATCTCGTAAGAGAGGCTTGAAGACACTAATGCGATGCCACTCTGTTCTCTGCTGTACTTCACCAGATGTCAGTCTGCTGTTTGTGTGTGTAGCAAGGCTGAAAACCACAACTGGATGCTCCTCAGACCCTCTTTTCTGGGGCTCAGCTCCAACCCTGCCCAACAGGGTTACTTGATTGATGGATTTCTCAACTCTTGGTGTGTACTGACTTGTGGCTCTCAAAGCTTCAAATAAGAAGGTTTTGGGCATATGCCTTATGACCCTCACAGCAGAGAAGACTTGCATTTTGCAATGAGTGCAAGAAAGTTCACTGAAATGTTTCTGAGAGAACAGAAAGCCATTAAAAAATAAAATTGACATTCCATAACCAAATTCCAAACACATACACATATCTAGGAATTTACAAAAAAATATTCATATTCTGAATCAGCTGTTTCAATTGACCAGAGCACATGTATGTATATTATGATATCTCGCAAAACAGACATTGGGGGGTTGTTTTGACACTATTTTCTGGTGCACACACTTCGCATGTGCCCCATGAATGCCAATAGCTTGGAGGTGAGTTATGATGTTCTGCATTACCTTAGAGAACACTGCTGGTGGGGTGTCTTGTACAGCATGGTAGAAATTGGCTTCCAGGATTCTCATATGTCTAGGTTGAGGATTACTGTACCCTATGCCCATGTTTAGTCCCACAGAAAGAAATTCGTGGTTATCAAGGAGGATGCATGCAATCATGAGACAGCTTCATGATGGGATAGGTACTTCCAAAAAATTTGTGGAGCCCAGATTTATTCATTTGGGGATTATCTCATGGATACAATGTACAGTTAGCCCCAAACTTAAGATTGCAAGCTCTCTAAAGCCAATATCTTTTTAGTCCTGTAAAAGATATCCTACCACCAATTTAACCCAAGGTGACATTTAACTTCATGATTCACCTCCAGGCAGTGATTGGCACTCATAGGTCAGAGACTTGGTGTGCACTGGCATATAGTGTTTAAACAAACTCCCATACCTCTGTTGTAGGATGTCATAAACCAGGTACATATAGCAGATGTGGTTCTTGAAATACATCCAATTCAAAATAAGGTTGTTTTTGTGGAACACCCTAGAAAAGATGGGTAGTATATTTAAAAGAAAATAACTACAAATGGCTGCATTCATAATTTTGAACTGAATATGGAATACTAGCCCTAAAACCCCAATACATGACAATTTTTCATGAGGATTGCCAAAGCTCCCAAATGGGACTACTTGGGGGAATAGGCAAAATGATATCCAAAATGATGATGGTAAGGAAAAACTCATGATGTAGAAAGGTGCTCCAGGAATTTACTATCATGATGATATTGTACCAGAACTAGGAAGAATCTAATGCAGGATGAGACTTCTTTGTAAATGAATGGCCCCTGTCATCACTGCTCTTCCTCTTTTTGCCTTGCTTGCTTTCCTCTTGAGCATCTTTGTCTTTAGGTTCCCACAACCCACCACGAATGAATCTCTTTGCTGCTTGCTGATCCAAGCGTGGCATGTTGGCCTTGTCTGTTGTCTCCTTCAGCCTCTGCATGGCCTGCTGTATTCGACTCAGTTCCCCCTTGATGCCATGCTCCCTGGGATCACACCCTTCTAGCTGAAGGTACACTGAAAAGAGAAAGACAAATGCCTTTCAGAAGGATGCAATATATTGGGTGGCACAATGGTGCCTGGATCAAGCAGGCACTATAACTGAAAATCTTAAACTGTCTAATCAGTTAACTACATGTACTTTTCTAATTAATAATAATAAAATGAACTGAAATTAATGTCACCAAACCTAATTTTACCATCAACAAGACAAAACCATCATCATGCTTCCAACTACAGTGAACTATCATTTTCTGAACATATGAGGTTGGTTCAAGTGAAAACTGGGCTTTCTTGTGTTGTGATGCAACAAGATAAGATAAAAACCAAATTTTTGCCTATTTCTCAGAGGACCCACATACTATATCAATGCTCATGCATCACCACTTTGAGTACTCAGATGATTGTAGCATAGAAATATTAGGACAGGTCTTCAATCCACTGTAAGATAAAAAATGGCACTTAATTTTTGCTGAAGCACTGTATGCTTCTTGAAGGTTCTAAATTTGTGGTCATGGCTGAAAGTTCAGTTGAACAATTTAAGGGGAGGCTAGGAGCAAAATATATAAATAGAGATGCTTGGAAGAAAGTAAAAATCATTGGTACCATTGAAAAACTTGTATTCCAAAGATCTTTTTGCAGCATAATTTTTACATCAGGCTCTAGCAATTTCTGAGATATTCTCAAAAAAAAATACTAATATATTAGTACATTTGGCATTACCCAAGCCACAGTAAAAAAAAATCTACCAAATTCCTTCAAATTCATAGGGCTCCATCGTAAAACATACAACTACGAATTGTCAGGAGCAAAAAAGTTAATTTTTCCAGGCAGAAATGAACTATTTCTGTCACGTTATTTGAAAATTGTATGGCAGTTGCCTCTTAGCTCCCTACTTCAACCATAAAAAATAAAATAATCAAAACTGGTCCCTACACATTCCAGGTTTGTCATTTCTGAGTATCCATGCAAAATATCTGGTTTTGGCATCAATATTGTAGGAGTAATTTGGGAAATAGTCAATGTATGCAATATGTGCATATGTGTATTGCGATTTTTTGCTCATAATGTCCCCTTAAGGAAGTTATTTCCCTCACTTTTGAACCAGCTATTCAGCTCCATGCAGAAGTTTTGTGTCCCCATGTCTGAGGCATGAACAAGTTCTTGGATGCCTTTGGAATGACACTTTCTGAAATTTTTAAGTACTCAAGGAATTTTGTTTCTACACTCACTATGCTAGGTAAAGCTGCTTTGTGATTTTCTGCATCTTTCTGCAATGAACCACAATGAATCACTTATTCATGAGTGATGTTTGGTTTGGATTAGGGATGGGTTATTGACTGGTCAATATTGTTAACCATGGTCAATAAGGTCAACTTTGATTTTATTTTTTTCCAGCACAGTTTGTGCTCCATTTTTATGTCATGACTCACAAGTGATAGGGCAGGCATGGGAAGTTGACTGGTGAACATGGCCACTTCTGACTATTTATGGACGATAATGGTCAACCAGCCCAACAAGAGGTGAGGTCTTATGACTGTAAATGATCATAAATGACCAAGCTGACTGGTCAACATCTTATTACTAAGATAAACTTTATCATATAGATTATATGAGTTGGAACATTAACAGTAATCAGTCATGTTTCAGAGGTAAATTCTGCAACTGGGTAGCTCCATAAGTACTCAAAATAAAGAGGAATGCAACACAGTTTCCCAGAATTGGATTTTCATGGTTTCTGGTATTAGCATTTATTCTTGTTCCTGCCAGAAAAAAATTACCTTGCTCAAGGAAGTTCTTCAAAGCTAGATCAATTTTTTTAGGCAAAGGCTGAGGCATAATCAAAGTACTTGTCCCTTGATAACAGACTCTAAGAATGATTTGATACTCTGATGCAGGCTATTGGCCAAGACCAAGAAAGACCTTGCATTAAATTGAAGTTCTACTAAAGCTGTAACTTAGATGTTGAACCTTAAGTTTCAAAGCCATTAAGGCTGGAAGGTCTTTAACAGCAGGCTATACATAAAACACACTACATCACTTAGCTGAGAGGCCCTGGTAGTTTGAGCATATGCTATTAGGTTGTTGCAAAAGTCCTGTCGGTGTTGAATGTAACATGTTCTAATAAGACTTCCAGGCTTTGACAATTCCTGGCGAGTGGGTGGTAGGTATAGGTATATAAGGACAGTCTGTTGTATCTCACTCATCCCATCATCTCTCAACTGCCCAGAAGATGGACGAAGGTCATCTGCAACTATGGCGAATATGTGGTCGATTAGGCCTCGCTTGTTGCAAAGCTCTAAAGTTGAGAAAATAAAGTTGTCAATACCGACAGGGCTTTTGCAACAACCTAATATAATACTTTCATACCCAATGGGTGCCACAGTCCAGATGTTTGGTAAGCTGCATTAATATAACTTTTAAATGGAACTGGCTCTTTGGTTTTAATGCTGGAGGATAAATGACCACAGTTATGAGCTTGATAAAAAAATATCTTAATTCGCTGAATAAAAAAAAGAGCAGTCAATAATGGTCAATTGACCGACCCATCCCTAGTTAGGTTGCCACAAAAGATAGTGCCAGGATACTTGACACCACTGGTGCACCGTCTCCCTCCTAAGGTTGCGGATATCACTCATTTACAATTCATCATAAGGTAGTGTCACCATACTTACTTATCTGTAGGTCTTCCATGAACCTCATCAGATTTCATATATTCCTTCACAATAAATGCCATGACAAAGTGCTCTCCATTTTCACACTGATAAAGGTGGATGCCATCTTGGATATAACATGTGAAGTTGCCTGAGAAAGTGGCAACATGATGAACTTTTGAAATAGTCAATACTGTGGGAAATTTTTTATGTATTCACATGCACTGCTGTCACATATAGGACAGAAAGTACATGTTTCACTTGAACCACCCATCTCCACCCTCTTGCAATGGGAACAGTGAAAGCAAGTCATAGATGAAAGTCATGAGCAATGTGCAAAATGATTACCACTCATCTGCATCTGCGGCTTGGCAGCTGGTTAAATTTGCAAAACACACTGAAGTTTGGTGATATTGTTTGATGATTTGATGTTTGATGAACCATTCCCCCAGGAATGAAAGTTCATTCTATCCATCAAATTCATTACAAGGATATACCATACAATCAAACCATCAGAGATACTATTAAGGCAGAAATTTATCTTTGTGCGAAATTTCAATTACAATCACGAAAGAGCTCAAAAATGCAAAAAAAGAATATTATACTGATAGCAGCCTTAATTCAGCTCTGAAAGGGTTAAAATAGTTGTGGTAGGAGTCATGGAAGGAGACATGGAACATATCCTTTGGGGGGTAAGAACATCTCTATAAATTCTCCACATTTCTGCATTAACCAAATGTCACATCATACTGAAAGAGTCCTATAAGGAAGTGACACCTATGTCTGTGAGTAAAAATATCTATGATCTACAATTCTTGCTCATCTTAAAATTCCTAACTCACATGCAGAATACAGTAAACATATTAGATGCAAATTTCAGTAATAAAAGTCATACATTAGAGCAAATTGACTTTTAGCTGCTTTACAATTTTCCAATGCCAGCCTGCCCAGATGTTACAATGATTTTAGAAACACTGACCATATTAACCCTTTCAAGACTATAATGACATACAGTGTATGTCAAATTTTATACAGGTTTTACTAGCTATAGTGGCACACAGAAGACTGTTTTTTGTCTTAATGCAGCACACAAAGCTTCCTGTTGATGTTTTAATAACTTTCCCTTAGAGCCTGCAAATTCATGGCATATGGTAGGTCTAATGGCAGTACACAGGGTTCAGGTTGCATGCTACTTATGTTGCTTACTCAGCAGTGAAAGGGTTAATTAATATACATTTTAAAAGCTAGTCAAAACTATAGTCAAAACTAGCCCCAAGCCATACTCCTGGCTGATAAAACTGAAAGCACATGCAAAGAAAGTCAATGCTTCCCAACCAATTTTCTCTCTTTTGATTTTGGTTCATGGGTAACATACACTTGCAGACAGGTTGATACTAGTAGAGTGTGGTCATACATTACTGCCAAGAAACCTAAAAGATACTACAATGGATTCTGCTTTATTGGACCATTGGTTAATGGGGGCAGCCAGTTTATTAGGGCATTTTGTCAGGAACAGAACCATTTCTATGCAAGTGTATTTAAGTTTCGCCATATATTCAGGATGAAAATCTGCTTCATCAGGGCAAAGTAAAAATGGACTTATGCCGTCGGTCCCAGATGGGTTTTTCTGCCCATACTCTCACTTCTCTTTGCTGTTTTTGTGGTTAAGAGCTGACCGATTGTAAAGGCAGAGGACCAGAGGTGCCAGTGTCAATCAATGAAGGGGGTCAGACCATTATTGATGTCACTTGCGGAGGAGCCTACGTCAACAGTGACGAAAACCCACCATACTTTGCCGAACACGATGACTTCGAGGACATATTTGCCAAGAGGCCTTGCTAAGGAAATGTTCCAGGCAAGGAGCCCGAGACTTTACCTAAGGTGAATCACGTAAGAGGCCACATAAGAGCACTTGGTGGATATCCTTCAGTGCTACTTCATTGAGCAGGGTTTGGATGATAGTGGGCATGGTGCTCTTGGCATTGGTGCTTTAGAGAAGCTTTTTAAGGTATGAAACAAGCAACTATGGGTATATTTCTGAAATCGAAACTTTTGTTTTAACACAAGTAAAGGGCATTCTTGTCTGGGTTTCCTACTATACCATAAGGTAAGTTTGCTTTATTGGGGCAGCCACTTAATTGGGGCAAATTGACATGGAAACCAATGTGTCCCAATAAAGCAGAATCCACTGTATTATGAAATGAAAAAGCTGCTACCCATCAGGGTAGTAGGCATGTTCTGCAGATCTGTAACTCACCCCAAAAAAGGGAATTTATAGCATACAATGTGACCAGGTCAGCCTTAGCACAATCCAGAGGAGCCATCTGCAGGAATAAAACCAGTGTCGTATCATTATTTCCATAAATCCATTCCTGGAGAAGGGAATAAGAATGAAAAGAACTAATTAGGAGAAAATAAAAGCAAAAAATCTTACATTTCGAATGAAATCCTCTCTGGATTTATGCATCAGAGGTTGTAGGGCCTCTTCCACAGAAGATAGGCTCCTATGCAAGGCAGTGAGTTTAATCTGTAGTTCTTTTGGGAAATCATCAGCAGCAGACAGCAAAGACTTACTCATTCTCCTGCAGCTTATATGATAGTTAAATGGAATTTATTCCAAATCATAAATCCTCATTACTCATTCCACAAGGGTTCCATGCAGATGGAGCACCAGGTGTAAACCTAGGAAGCCAAGAGATACAACTGCATTTTGACAAGCCCATCAGACCACAGCCAAAAAATTGATACAGCATTGAACCTAAGGCCTAACTAATTCATAGGATGATGCATAAACCTACCCACAATATGATTCAAACCAGTCAAAAACATATAGGCAAAAGAATACCATATTATGCATATCCTCATTATGCCAAAGAGTCATTGTCAGACAATATGCATTAAGTTTTGACAATTTTAATTATGGATAATAACTTATGGTTAATTTTGGCAATTAATTGAGTGATTTGCAAAGTGGCTTAAAGTTTGCAAAATATCAAGACAGTAATCTGAAACCAGCAAAACATCCTTAAAGTGATTCCTCCCCATTCATATAACTAAAAAATGGAAGGGTCAAAAATGTGACCTGCAAGCATTACAAGGATATTACTATTACCTCCAATGAAAATACATGCATGAAGTGTGATCATCAAAGAAAACTGTTCCTTGTTGAAGTAAACAATTTCCAAATTGAAATCATACCTTCCCTACAGCCAAAGGCCAAATGCAACCCTTTCTTAACCGCATCTGACCCATCATTCTCCAAAATAGGTTGACTTGCTCACTCTTTCAGCCCAGCATAGAAGGAATGCATCTCACTTGGTCTGTATTTATCACTTCTTCTCTGAGGTTAATCAGTTCAGGTTTAGTGAAAACCCTAAGGAGCTAATGAAGCATTAGTCTGGGTCTCTAGCTCTGAAGTAATTATGGAATTGTTTAAATTATGAAATCTTATGTGTGGTAAGGACAGAGGTCACACAGGATGAGGATGGAATGAAAAGGACAGACAGTGTGCTCTGTTCCTATCATTTAATATAGTGCACTTGTAGCAATGTGAGCATTCCCAGTCATGCAATTAATGGTTATGTACAGTTATCTCAGGAAATACTGACCATAAGCAAATCCTGGTAATGTTTTGGAGGCACCCATGAACACCTCTTTCAAGCATGTTATGATTCAATTGAAAAGTAAGAAGCTATATTGGCCTGCGAAATGGCACCTTAACCAAAGAATTTATTACTGTGCACTAAGCTTGAATGTCACTTAATATACTGAGTTACATGTGGTCAACAGGAGTTTTATGGCAAAAAACTTGTTCAAAGAGGAGTCCTTCTGCAAAAAAAGAATTCTAATTCAAAGATTTCTGTTGGATAAAATTAAAAACACTAAATCCCTAGACTTTTAATAATATTATTAGTAGTAATGCTGCTATTATATTATGAGATGAGGCTTCTTTCCCTGAAAACAATCGTAATCTGAACTCTTACTCTGAGCTGGAGACCTGCATCTTCATAAGCAAACTTCTTCCTAATGGTTATCATAATCTACACAGTGGTGAATACAAATATTATCCATAGGAGGGGGGCTTTCTTTGTCCCCTAGTATGGGCCTACCTCTGACTAGGCCATACAAGCAATAGTTTAAGGCCCAACGTTAGGCCTTACCTGGAGGAAGCCCACGCTCACTTCCATGATGGCCGGTATCAATATACAGAACCGCAACCTTTTGCATATAGCCTCGTTTCATTCGATGCAAGATACATATAAATATCCGTAAATCCAAACATTCTGGTCGAAAATGATCACGTCAGTCCCCAGGCACGGCATGGACAGGAGCCCGAGTCTTGCTCCAAGTGACGTCAAGGGAATGGAATCACGTGACTGTCGACGCTCAAGTGAAACTTCATTTTTTATTTTCGTATTTGAAATATTTTTACGTGCGGCCTAAAAAAAAAAAGAACTTGTGTTCGAGTTTCCTTGGTTTCCCCTGCTCTAACATAGGGCCGGCTGCACAGCTCCCCCCTCAAAGTCAGACTTGATAAGTCAGACTTCTCCAAAAGTCTGTCTGACTTGGAAACGTCGGACTTGAGCTGCGGTTGCACTGCCTCTGGCTAATCCTAGTCTGACTTTCTCATTTTGGAAAGTGCGATTGCACCCTTTGCAACCCTGGCTTTTTGGAGGAGGTACCACCAGTGTAGTTATACCTCTATTATACGTGGTGTGATCAAGAAGTTCCCGGACTGGTTCTGTAACTCCGTTATACTTTAATGGACAGATGTCACTTCTCGTATGTATCTTGGGTTGGGTCTTGGGGGTGCATAGACAAAATTTGCTTCTTATTGGTTTTCATTTGGATTTTTAAAGAATTCTGTTCCAATTGACACTTTGAACTAGTCGGCGAATGTACGTGATGAATTTTTTTTAGTACTAAAAAAATGTGAAGGGCCGTCAAATAATGCGTGGAAGAAGGCGAATGTACCACACCTCAGGAACCTTCAAGGTATTCCACAGATACAAAGGATTCGGAGAAAAGAAGACCTTTAACACGGTGACCCAAGGATGAGCGATTATCGACATCCACACCTCGATGCACCTCCATGAATGTCTACGTGAGAAAAATTCAAGTTCTTGGAGAGCTCATGAATTGTCTATTTCTGAACTCTGTGAAGAATTTCTTCCACTTTTGGCCCTCTTCCCAACTTTTTTTGACGGTCGACTTGGTCGTCCACGTGACCTGTCACAAACAGACACAAACGATTTGAAATTATTCTGTGCCTGTCGAATATCCTCCAGCAGCCTGAAGCATCTGCTCCAAACGCAGCAGCGTGCAACTTACCACAAGTTTATTTCCCTTAATTTCACAAAAATTGCATGGCGTTCTGAATTTCTAATATGTTTTCATCATGTTTCTTGCTGCTTTTCGCCGGGTAGTTCAAAGTGTCCGTTGGAACAGAATTCTTTAAAAATCCAAAGGAAAACCAATGAGCAAGAAATTTTGCCTTGTGGCATTAATATTATCTCCTAACATGTTCAGGTATCACTCACCATATAAAGTTCCCTCAAAGAAAAACGGTCCAAACACATGTGTACCCCTTTGTCCGCACCATTCCATAAGTTTTTGAGATCATTGCTATTCTGTCGGTAACATTCAATACGGATCTTCCAGAGACTCTTAGTAGCGCATATTCCGCTTTAAAAGACTTGAGAGAAATTAATAATTTCTCATTGGGTAGAGACTTTTCGGACATCCTGTAGAATGGACGTTGGTATTACGTAAAAATATCCCTTTTGGAATATCCCCCCTGCAAACAATTTTAAACCCATAACGTTTAATCAACGTTAAATCAACATTGAATCAACGTTCACCAACGTTGGTCCAACGTAGCTTTGTTTGCTGGGCCGTTGGCACAAGAGCGTTGAAGCATTGCTATGGCAACGCTCCACGTCTAACAAGTCAACGTTTGTACGCAAGCATTGGACGAGCGTTAAGGAAACGCTGAGACAAATCATCAATGAGCATGCTCATCTTCCAGATGAGTACAGTTTTCGTCAACTGCATGGATTTATAGCTAAATATGGTATATTCGAGTAGTACATGGATACAAATATAATCAACCAAGCACAGCTATTCCAGGTAACACGCGAACGTTCTCGAAGACGTTGGAATCTGGTTCAAAACCCAAAGGTTTTGGAACATGGAATGTTCACGGTGGAGCAGCATTTAGAAGCTCAATTAAGGTGCCGTTTGATCTCCAATATTCTATTCTTTATAAGGTTTCTGAAGGACATCAACTGAACCTTAAAGAGACATTTTCTATATGCACTTCTGTGCTATTTGATGGGGATAGCGGCCGGCAATTAGGCATTGGTTTAAACAACCAAAGGTTCGCACAACCGAAGCGAGAAGACGCCAAAGTAGCCGCTATAGAGAGTCAATACGTTGTGGGCTTAGCGGCGGACCTCACCGAGGAGTGGAGGAGGAGCCACCCCCTACCGGACACCTCCCACCTCCAAGAGACCTCCCCGGACCGGGACAAGGGGGTGGAGGCGAGACTAGATGGTGAACAGGGAGAGTGTGGATGTATGCCTGGTGCCTGTAGACTATACGAGTGAGTGGTATACATTCAATATATCCATTGTTATTGTTGCTGACCAGCCTAGTCCTTCCGAATCTCACCGGTACTTATCTAATTGGAGTCAGTACATATATAATAGGGCCCTTTTACGTACACGGAGAACACGTAATCCCATTCGGCGGCCTCGCCCACAACGTGATACAGCTGCAATTAGTTCCCGATATTTTCCCACAGACACTAACGGGAAAGATATTTGAATTCTTCAACAAATACGTCTAATTCGGCAATCCTGTCCAAGGAGTCTCCAGGTAACTCTGGCTCGGAGGATGGAGGGAGGATCCTTTAACTTCCTAGTTGACTCCATGGGAAGCTCACTGGATCAGCACATAATAATGCATATCAAAGATTTAAGCGGAGCGAAGTGCAGAACTTGTTTAAATTCTCAAGAGGAGATTCGGATGTCATGGAATTTTCAACACATTGGATCCACTCCAAAGCGGGATCATTCCCAAGGGCATTCATGGCACGTTGGCAGTACCACAAAAGTTACATTAATTGACAGTGGCGCAACCAAGGGGAGGGGTTCATGGAATCTGGACCCCCCAAAACCCCTGCTCATGATAGTACCTGTACTATCCATTCCACGGCCCGGGTATAAGTCACCCCTCGACCCTCGCGATCTCATTGTCTGTTACGCGATCTGGTGGACAGTCGGCAACAAATGTTTAACTGTGACATCAGTGATGCAACTCGGGTACCTACAGGCCCAGTTTGAAACTACGAGGTCTCTGCAAAGCAACACCGAAGTGATTCATAATGGACTGAATGCAATATAGGTAGGCTCAAGAACAACTACCGTCACGTCCTGACTCAATGGATACTCGACTAGACTGGAGTTGGCGAGAAGGTATTTTGCATCTTATTCCTAGCAAGATAGCGCAATATGGTTTTGGGGGGGACGAAACTTCTGATGTCGTACGCAAGCATCCCTCAATTTTTAGAACTGTGGATATATTGTACGTAGGGAGGTAAGTAAGTTTATTTACCTGCATTCGCTCGTCATAATTGTCCATACTTATAAAGCAATAAAAAATAGAGCTAAATCGAGGGAAAAGTAAAAACTGTAATCACTTAAGTTGTCACAAAGTAAGAAAGTGAGATCTTCTCAGACATCTCAGGAGAAAGCTCTTTCTAAAGGAAATTCGGATTCAGGGGGAAACTAGTCTCTTTCTTGTTTCGGGCCCAATAAGACGGTGGAAGGGTACGCACACTCATTGCAAGGGATGCATGAAATCCTCTTGAATTTTCTCACATTGCTGGATGCCCGAGGAGATTAATTTTCTTTAAAAATTCTTCCTTCATTTGTTCAGTATCCTGGCCACCGATATACGCAATGCGCGTCAGAATTAGCATAATGTGGGAAGAGTTTTTCTTTGAGAGATAGCAGTCATAGATGGGAAGGGCGTAACGCAGGCAAAATATGATGCAAGCGTCTATGACGAAGGAAAACATTCATAGCCAGATAGGATAATCTTTAGCATTTCTTGAAGATCTCTTCGGTCTGATTCCTGAAACATAATTCATTGTCAATGTAAATTCCGAGGTACTTGACCGAGTTTGTGGCTGAGATGACCACTCTATCGACACGAACTTGTCGATTCTTCAGTCCAACCAGAAGCTTTTTTTTTTAACTCTTATTTGAAAGCACCAGAGGTGGAGTGCATAAAACTGACTTTAACGTAATAAAGCTTTAAACCTCCTTTAGCGGTGCTAATGGAAGTTTAAAGCCTTCATTGCGCTAAAGTCCGTTTTATGCAATCCACCCCAGCTCTTGACACTTGTATGGATTTAGGATCAGGTTCTGTGCTTTCGACCATCGCACTATGTGCTCGATGTCTTCATAGTTGTAGATGTCCTCCTCGTTCTTGATGGCACTGAGAAGTACTGTGTCATCGGCATATATGACAATATGTGAATTGGGATACACAACTCGGAGGGAGTCGGTGTAGTAAGTAAAGAGGAATGGCGACAATACACCACCCTGTAATACACCAGCTCGTGGTGCAAGGATGTTTGTGGCTTTCCCATTCACGAGAACAAACTGACTATTCTCAGATAAGTAACTGGTGTTCAACCGCAGATCTGGTATATTGTGGTAGATTCACATCCATGGCAATTTTTGTGGCCCGCTCCTGCCCGCGACAAGGCATGCGTGTTTCGGTCCGACCCGCGGTGCGTTCAGCTAGAGGACTCTACTGAAGTATTTTTCTTTTTTTTTAGCCTTCGCGTGGACAGGAGCAGCTATCGACTCCTATGGGACCATAGCTATTCAGCAGTCGTGCTAGCCCACACCTTCGACATTGGTCACACTTGCCTACCTGTGCTGCTCTGTCCATCGTGATCAGGCCTAGCCAATTTTGGCAAGTCGAGACAATGTCCATCTGGTATTTTGACAGAAAAGAACTGAGGAACACTCCATCAGTTATACAAGACGGCATCAGTTATGACACTGAAAGGCGGTACAGGAAAGAAGGAGGAAAATTCATCATCGACTTGGGAGCAAAAATGGGATTGTATGTCTATTAGTCTAATATTTGTTTTGCATCTCTTAGTCCTATTAGCCTGTGCGGTTATGCTTAATCGCGTCCCCCCTAGGGATATTTTGTTTCCCCTCAAGTTAGGCCTGGTTAGGTTAGTGTTTATTTTAAGTAAAAGAAATCCTAATGGATGGGGGATGTTTCCAGCTGAATTCATCTGGAAACATTAGGGACTGGGGGAGTGCCATTTCTCTAGGGGGTACATGCTTAACTGTTACCAGTTTGTGCATGGTATAGCTTATCCTAAGGGTTCTCTTCAGCTACTGGCAGTTTCCATACCCTTATTCTGAGCAGAGCCTCCCATGCTTAGCTTTTTCATGGCTTCTCTTCTGTGAGGTCCTTAATCATTTAACAAGTCTTAAGCCAGACAAAACTCATTGCCTGCAACACAATTTCAGTTCAATTTTATGTTCAAGTGAATTTCAAAATCATTGCTACTGGTACAAAATTTTTAATGGTGCAGTTTTTTGCTGCTAGATTCCTATCTACCCTAGAAGATTTGGTGATCCTTAAGTAGAGGCCACTCTAGGTCTATTCCTTTCCTTCCATGAGAGTCAGACCAATTTCTCATGGTCTCTTTTGAGTTTACATTAAACTTGAAACTAAGTGACCTTACTTGGCCTTGACCCTGTAACTAACAGAACCCAGATGGTTATATGTTTAACTCTTTGTTTCATCTCTTCATTCCTAAAGAATCTCTTGAAAATACTTGGCCTAGTTACGATCACATGCCTACATGAAAATACATAGTATTGGACTTTACAAGTTTACTATGCATCCTACACCAATGGATATATTTTTATATCAGGGTTCATTGAACCTAGAACAGTAGTTGCAGGGTTAACCAGCAACACTGGAACTTGACAAGTGATTAGCCCTAGCCAAGTAACCTGGTTTCCTTTGACATTTGACCGAAGAATGAGAGAGCCAACCAATATCAGGCAATGATCAGTCAGTATGGCTACAAATTACAGCCTTTTGAAGCAACTCTCTTCAAATCCATCTTCCTTCAAAATGGGTTTACTTTTTTACTTTTTGGCCTTTGAGATAAAAAGAGTGGGGAAGTTATTGTGCACTGCTGTCGTCTCTTCACCACTCTTTGTTCTCTCCATCACCTACAGTATCACCTCATGCCTAAGGACTGCCAGATGATCTCTTAGATCCATGTTAGGCCTGCATAAAGTGTATGGCAAACAGGACATGATTTTTAAGCAAAAAACCTTAGTGGTGGTTTTTTCATGAAACTTGCACTGTGCAATGACTGATTTATTTACATAGGACTTTTAATATTTAATTCATGTTCATCATGTCAGAGCATGGTTATGAGCAATAATTAAAAGTAAATTGGATATTGAAAGTGGACTGGGGCTCATGGTGGGGATTTAAGGGAGGAATTGTCTTTGTGCAGTGGATGTATAAGTGGAGTCTTGTCATTCTGCAGGGGCTGGAGTCCCTAGCCTGTTTTTGATTTCCAAAATATTTTAACTGATCATTCCTAGCCTTGCTCTTGTGAACAAAATTTGCTTGATATTTCAAAGTGGAATTAGGAACAAATCAATTGATCTATCCTATGACTACTCCTGTTAGCATCCTTCTGCTGCTTGCCCTTTGAAATGAAGTATGTTGTTCCTAATATAGCATCTCACACCTCTTAGGATCCGCTATTAAAAAAAAATTGTGTTGGCTAGCCCTACGCTTACTATTGGCCTAGGTGGGACTTGAAATCCATAATGTTCATAATAGGCTTTATTGCTAATGGTATTACTCTTAAGTTGCAAAGGCACTTAGGAGTAAATTTTTGTGTAAGCATACTTCTCCCCATAAACAAATGAATTGCCTCATTGGTGACAGTATAGTCCCTGCAGACTAAGGCCTGGTTCACTGGTAGCCACCTTCAGGGCTCCTGGTGCTAATGAAGGTAATCAAGACCATAATATTACAGTTACAGTTTAAGTGGCAGAGGGAAGTGGGCCTGTTGATCTAAAGGAAATTGAAGTTTTTGAAAAGTACACAGATATGGTATGGTGACATTTATGTTTATCGTGGGTAAAAACCAAAACCTACTAAGAGCATTAATTTGGCATTTCACATTTTTTAGAGGGTTCTGGATCTGTCATGAGCTTTCATGTGTGAGGTGACCATGTTTTGTGGACAGTGATACATTTAGAATCTTCAAACATGGAGGTATCTGGGAGCCGAAGTATAGAGACGGGGAATTAAGATGAAATTTGCTGGGCTGGAAGGGCAAATGTTGACAAAATATATTCAAGGGTTTAGTTTATTGATGAGATTACATCTCATGGCTTTTCATCATGCCTAAGTGAAGGGTACAAAATTGTAACAAGGGCATGTCACTCGGAGGAGATAAACAAAAGGAGATTGTCAGAGCAGTTGATAAAAAATAGGCAGAATTTTCACTTTATGAAATCAGCAGCTTTGTCCTTGCTGGATAGTTTATTCCATGCTACAGCACTATGTTTCCTGAAAGATTGCCCGTAAGATTCCATGTTGCATTTCAGGATGGTAAGATCCTCAGTATGTTTGGTTTTCCATTTAGAGATTGTTTACATTCCATGAACATTGATTTTATGTAAGCTGCAATTTTCCCTTGTTTATAGGCCTTGAAGAGTATTCTCAGATCATTCCTTCTTGTGTCTTGATGAGGTCCCACTGCAGTTGTTTCATAGTTAAAGGCAATATAAGGCAGGATGAGAAATTCTATGAGAACCTTAAGAAACAGGGTGAATAAGGGGAAAGACCCACATGAAAATTTCATATAAGACCATATATGAGATGGCAATATATTTAACCAGTCCAACATATGGGGCATGTATGACCATATAGTGCAATGCATATATGAACATATGTGAAACATGTATGGGGTTTGACACAAGTCACATAAAATTGCTTGTATTTCTCACATTTCTCCCTCTTCCTACTGGGATATTCTTTTATCAACTTTGTCAATGGATGCATCCTATGGATTGCTTGGTAAAACTATGGTAGTTATTATCAATTATAAGAAAAATGAAATTAATCCTTGGATAATTTTTAATGTATTTTTGTAAAAAATAATTTAATTCATTTCATGATTTCATATTTGTAAATATCACATTTGATAATGGCATGATCCTGTTCATTTGATCTATAGTTCAGTTTTCAGATGCCTCATATTTACTCAAGTTCAAGGAAGAACCCAACACCCAGCGTAGTTGATCACCTTAATGGATCACCTTAAGTAGCATGTGACATGAAAAGAACATAGGTGTATTAGAGCCTCCAATTTACATAAACATAACATGTGCCATTGATATTGACCAATTATGAATGGAGTCTATCTCATATGCAATAAAAACTACTCTGAAGCCTAGTTAAACAAAATGAATACTCAGCCTTTAACTTATGACTTTCTCAATGCAGATTTTGAGTATTAACTTGCAAAAATAAACACTCTCATTCTATAAAGAAAATACACAACCCATGTGTTCAAGCAACAGCCATGTTTTGAGAGCTTAAATTGAAATTTTCTCAGCAGATGGCTGGCTGAAGCATTCAAAGGCTTCCTTGGTTGAAAAAGCACTCAGGATCAGCACTTCATGACACTTATTGAGATTAGCCTAGGGGCCAGATGGAAGCCTTCAGGGGTGATTAGGGGCCTCAACAGAAATGTAACACCTTATCTTTAATGCAAACAGGCTGAAGTTTGCAGTTGGTTTCTGTAAGCAACTGTTAAAGGGGACTTAGTGGGCCAGACAAAATGGACTGGCGGGCTGGATCTGGCCCGTGGGCTGCCAGTTTGACACCCCTGGGCTAGAAAATTTAGAAAGAAAAGTATAGATGAAGTGTTAGAAAATGGAATCACTAGGCTGGAAAGGATTGAGGGGGTTAGGTGAAAATTCTATTATACAAAATATTCATGATTATGTGTACCAATAGTGGGAACAGATAGATGAGACAAGGAAAGAAAGTGATTTTGTTACCATATCATTCCTTTAATCCTACTTTATGAAATACAGCACCTGAAATGAACCAGAGCTAGAAAGTAAATTGGGTGAGATGCATGAACTAGAATGGAGTTTTATGTATTTGTTATCAAGGTACTTTCTTTGGAAATAACATCAACTCAGTTAAGTGGATTCTCATAGGAGCCCATGATGAGTTGAAATTATTCAAGTTGATTGGATTTCATGTCACTTGTTATGAGAAGTCAGTCAGGATTCATATTAACAAGTTATATAGTATGTTGTTAGAAACTGTTGGGGTATGACCCCATGAGTTAGCTTACAAGTGTAGCTATTGCACCTTATTCCATAAGTTGCAAACTTGCCCTTGGTATAATAGGCCTAATTTTGTATTTTACTGCACTTTTTTTTTTTAGAAAATGTTTTCAGCTTCCCTTAATTTTCCTTTTCTTTTCTTTTTAGGAGATACAACACAATGGCTACTGGTGTTGTGTACTTCCATCGGTTCTACATGTTTCATTCATTTAGAAAATTTCCACGATATGTGAGTGCTTTGAATTCCATGGTCTTTGTTCATTGAATGGGATTTCTTGCTGTGCATTGTTCTAAACAAAATGAGTCCTGGTTAGTCAGTTGGCTTACATGTGATTGCCTGTGCAGAAGAAAAAAAAGATTAATCTAATTATATTCAGACATGCTGAAATATCTACTCAATTCAGGTCAATTTGGCTGGCCTGAATATTCCTTAGTCAAAGTTTGAACCCATCTCAAAATTTTATGTGAGATTTGTAAAGAAAGCATTCCTGCTGTTAAAAGACATGCTTACCCAAAAAATATTGGCCTATACATTTATTATTATTTATTGATGAGAAATGCACAAAAAAGGACACTTGGAATGTAATCCTTCATGTGTTTAATTTGCTTGAATGTGAAACACGATATAATGGATCTGGCCGGTGAGCCATATTTTTTACATCCCTGGAGTAGGGTAAACACCCAACTCTCTCTATAGGACTAAAAAGATAAGAAAGGTAGCATGATTTATGCTAATGAGGTTTAATATTTTTTGCACCAGAGTGCAAAAAATTCTTTTTTTTTTCAAACAGTATTTCTCACAGTTGGTTCACATATATTTGATGGAATAGACCAGTGTTGTAGTTAGAATCCTTACAAATGTTATGAGGAAACAGTTTTTCAAGAAATAGGTGAATTTTTTCATAAATGAAATTTTTTTCTATTTTTAGTGATTTTTGTGACCTAATTACATATTCAATGGTACTAAAATTTGCTAAAGGATTGGGTAATCGAAGAAAGCTACCATCATTCCTTGGAGAAAAATTGAAGGTAGCTCTCAGCCAAAAATGAAGGATATGGGTGTATTACACAAAAAGTTATGCTGTTCAGAGCAGCGTCTGTCAGCTAAAAAAAAAAACTGTAGCAGAAAATCGTGACAACCAGGGACAATAGGTTAGGGACATTGATAACAAATTAAGCCAATTAACCATTATTTTTTTATTTTCAGCTCTTTATGACGATATGAATCTGCATGAGTTGAAGTATGATTATATCCAATTTTTGTGGAAACTTAAAAATAAAAATAAAAACAATTCTTGATAGGTCTGCTACCTTAACTGTGTGAGTGCCACCAATAAATGGATGGCATTCTGTGGCACCTACCTGCCATTGGCCCAACAGGACTGAAGCAGTTAAGTGCTGAGTTTTGACCTGACCTCCTAAGTGATGATCATACAGTGTATGTGAAATCTGCCTGAATGGTCAATATGCCCTATGTGGAGAATATCACTGGCACTGTAACTTCCTGGTTAGATCTTGTGCTGTGAAAAGAAGAGGGTTTCCTCTGAGTTGTAGGAAATCTCAATTTCAGCTGTAATTTCAGCTGTAGCTCATGGATAACCAGAAGTGATTGTTCATGGTTGAGGACACTCATGTGGCATGAAATGGCTTGAGAAACCTTCCCATCCTCCTCCAACTGTTCATAGTATCTGTGATCTCATCTGTAGCATCAGGATATATAGTTTTGTTGTTGCACCACCTATCTGATGACCAGATGGAGTGAAATTTATACAAGTCCATCTCAGAGTGTGCTTCTTTATGTAGTGTTTTGTTATAGTGTATGATGTCTGAACAAAGTTCTGTTGGACTGAGATCATAGTTAAGATGGTTCTGCTGACCCACAAACTAGACAAGCTTTACTCAGGGTCTGACTTTTTCCTGTTACTTGAGCCAGAATTTTGCTGATATTGAAGTTTTGGTCATAGAGTAATCCACAAACTATCATGAATTTCAGCCTGGTTTCAAGAAATTTACTACTCATAAACATATTCCATGAAAGTACTTGACATGAATGCTGTGTTGATGTTACTATCTCTATCTTCCATCTAGTGACCTGTTTACTGGCAAGTTTCCATTTGGCAGTGGCAAGCTGGGTGGGTAGTTTATTCTGCAACAACTCATGTTTGTAATGGAGCTTCATTTAACTCTTTTTATTCAAGGGGAAAAATGTTTAATTGAATGGCAACCCCATATCTTCAAATACCATGACAAGTTTACTCATCATTCACACCACACAGGAGAATGATCATGAGGAGAGTTATCATCATACCCAATTAACAGGTTAAAATGACTGTCAGAGATGTGTTGAATTGAAGTGATGATATCAGTGCTGTTGTAAATGCTGGCAAAACCCTTCCTTAAGAACTGTTCTGCTGGTTTTTGTTTTTCTTTCTTTGCCTTTTCTTCATTGGCCTTGCTCTCTCTTTACTCTTGCTGAGTATAAATTGAGATGTCTGTAAGGGAGCTTCTGGTTGTGACCTGGCTAGCAGGAGCCATGTAAAATTCAGAAAACTAGAGGTTTTGATTGATATAAACAGTTATATTCTCCTGTGAGAGAGTATGAAACTATCCCCTTCTGAGTTCCTTTTTTCTCCTTTGCTAACTAACATCAAACATTACATTTTCAGCACTTCTTCATTATTGAGAACTTGATCACTCAATATTTGTATTTTACTGTTTCCATTGGCTTGGGCTCTTATATGCACATTGAACTGACTGCAGGAATTTACAGAGCAGTTTTATTCGTATTATTTTCAAGGAATTTCCTTAACCTATTTACCATGCTTTTTCTTACTTTATTGTTTTAACTCCAGCACTCTTTTTTTCTCTTATCAATATCTTTCTTGTCTTGCAAATTTTTCTTTTGCATGAACTTTTCTTTCAGGACACACATGTATGCAATGCTTACATAACCATAGTGGAAAATGTTTAATTTACTTAGCTGGATATATATTGTACATATTATACAAAAAAAATCAATGACTTTTAGCCAAAATATCTCCAGACATAATAGAGCAATTTTTTTTGCAGAACTTTCACTATGCATACAAGGGGCATTAAACAAGGTTTGGCCTGAGGCACTTCCAGTTGTAATACACCATTAATATATATATATATTTTTTTTTCCATGGAAAGACAGATGTCTTTGATGAATGGAAAATTGCAACTTATTTGTTGATAATATAAATCTATGAATTTTTTTCAGTGTGCTACCAAGGGGTCTGCTGAAGGGGTATTAAAATTGAAACAAATGCTGAGATGAATTTTCTAACCTTGAAGAAATCATATTCTTAACAGATCTTGTAGAGTAGGGTCAGTAATAGAGTATCCTCTCAGCTGTTTAAAGATCTGCCGAGAAATTGACTCCTTCAAGGTTAGAAAATTCATCACAGCATTCATTTCAATTTTAATACCTCACTCAGTAGACCCCTTGGTAGCACATTGAAAAAATTCATAGAAGCTTTCTATCATTGGCAAATAAGGTGAAAATTTTCCATTCATCATCAAAGAAATCTGTCTTGGAGAGACTTCTTTTGAGAATAAGTTAGAAATGTATTCATGAAATTCTTTCACCTTGAAAGATTTGCATAAATAGCTCCATTATGAGCTGAGATATTTTGGTTAAAAGTCATTGGTTTTTTTTCCCTCTCTTGTTAGGACTCTTCACCCTGAGGCTGTCTTGAGATAAATGCTAAGGAAGTTAATTGAAGGGCTGAAAGGTAAAATGATTTATCTGCAAAAAATTTCCAAGAAAAGTATAATTGACTTAGTGCTCATAGAACCATATTCCTTTCATAGAAAATTACAGTTTTTTGGAATTATGTGAAAGATGAAGTGATCTATCAATACACACCACTTTTTCCCACTTTTAACAAGAAGGCCTTTGGAATATTCACTCTTTCCTTGTGGAGCTTGAGGAAATAATGTTTTTCTGGTAGACCACTTTGCCTTTCAGTCCTTCAATTTATAGAATTTACAGCTATCAATATCACAAGCTTCTGCTGCCTTGCATTACAAAGAGAACAGTGGCTATTACTGGTCCCTGAACCAACTTGAGTTAGGATGTATATCTCTATATTTCTATTGTGGTAAATCCATTGAAACCCTTAAAATCCAGTCTTAAATTAGATATTTCTTCACACTTTTTGAAAAGAATAAAAATTTTAAGGAGGGTAACATTAGGAACAAGGCTGGGACATTTATTGAACTTGCTATTTAGAGCCACCACAGAACCATATTGGGATTTGAGTGTTATGTTTGTTATACCCAGGGTGCCAAACACTATGACAGTCAGCAAAGCTTAAGTCTCCATTTGCATGAAATAATTATACATGTTTCATCATTCCTGAAAGGCAAAACAAATTGGGTAAAACCCTTGTCTTGTAATCTTGCAATCAGAGATCTTCTGGTTTTGCTTTTCAAATTTTAAAGGAGCTATACAACCTATTTATGATAGCCTAACTTCTCTTTCAACTTATGCTGAATTTATTCCTCTTTTTCTTCAATTCATTTCAGTATATTTTAGTCAAAAGGTGAACATGTTAAAAATGATTAAAATGATGATGGGCATGAGAAGTATAGCTCTTTTTCAGGTTATCAAAGATATTTCATGGAGGATTCAGATCCCAGAGTCTGTTTTCTGCAAGGAATTTACTGACCATGGTGAAGGATTAAAGAATTTAATTTTTTTTAAAGATGACTTTTCATGTCGTCATGATTAACTTTAACACATTCGCTGCTGATGATGCACCTTGTCATTATCCTTTCCATAGAACTAACATAATTGGCAGCAAACATGTTAATTTTCAGTATTTTGAGCAACTCTATGGTGACCCACAGAATTCTTCTTGAAATCCTTTTACTGGTTGATACCCTACATGACTCAATGCCTGGGATTTCTGATGATATAGGTAACTGCATGTAGCTGCTTGTTTCTGGCTGGGAAGGTGGAAGAAACTCCAAAGAAATGCAAGGATATAATAAAGAGTGCCAAGGCTCTCCTTACTGAGCAAAATGTTGGAGAAGAAGTATTGGCACAATTTGGAGATGATCCAAAGGTAATTGGAAACACTTGTTGGTATATTGGATTGACTATTTTGGAGTTAACAAGTGTTTTCATCTTTTACATGATATATTTATGTGAAGGAAGAGGTGATTACTCTAGAGAGGATCTTACTGCAGACCATCATGTTTGATCTTCAGCTTGAGCACCCTTACAGATATCTGATCAAGTATGCAAAGTGCCTAATTGGTGAGTTACCTTGACAGCTATATTTATTTTTCTTTTGTTGGAGTTAATTTTGAAACTTTTCTCTGTGCATCTCTATGCTATGGGGCATGAAACTATGCATCAATCCATCATAATATTGCAGAGCCACGACTATGCTGTAACATGGCAACACCTAGGAAATTGAGGGAGAAAGATACAAATATAGGGTGTCCATGAAACCCTTGACACAATAAGAATGTACGTAACTTCAGAATGAGCAATAATAGAGCCATGTAGTAAGGCACATGATGGGTATACCATTCACAATCTTATGTAGCATTCAAATTTTAGTATGGAAAACTGGTGGTGTTAGTAGTACACCCTGTTTTTAAAATATTTTAAAAAGGACTATTGCTTTTAATAGAAAGGTGCAAGTTACTCTGTGGTCCACAAAGTTTGATTCAGTCATCATTGTAGTGTAGATATCAGCATGTTTGCAACAATGAGGCACTTTTGCTGAATTGGACATTCCATAGTTGCCATTCTGATTGACTTCTTTGAAATACTTCACACACACTGTTTCCTTGCTCACTCTTGATGGACCAAAACTGTCAATTTGACTGCTGCATTAAAAGTAGCATAAAACTATTGTCCTGTAATGTATTATTTGCTTTTCCAGATGTTATTTGGTATGTTCAATATGTTAAAATGTTCAAAATGTTGATATTAGATAGGAAAAGTAAAAACTGCAGAGGCATTTAGTTGTCAAACAAGCAGAGCAAAGTGCATTAAAGATTGGCAAGCAGTCAAAATGATTTCCTTGGTACTAATAGTGTTAAAACATATCCAGTCCGCACAGATTATTGATGTCACTGCCTGATAGAGTTTATTTGAGATGCTTGTTCTGTGCAAAGAAGTTAGAGTTCATGCTATACACAGAGTATTGACTCAAACAATGTCCCATGAGACAACTGGTGTCACATATTCCCTACTCTGAAAGCTGCAATGTTGAATGTGAACCTGGAAAATATGCACATCATTATGCTCATGTGCCACATGTCTCTATAATTGTTTGAAAGATATGATTTTCATTGTGCATCTAAGATTTTAGCGACACCTTGCATTGCATCAAATGGAAGGTTCTAAACAATTTCAAATCTTACATAGCACTCAAAGGGTCATGGTTTCTGGAGTTCTGCTTCTGTATATGCTTCTGTTTCTGATGATACCATACTAATTGGTGTTACTGCAATATAATGAATTAATAATGTAACAGGTCTTGTGATCTTTGACTTTATTTAGCATAAATGCTCTGGGATTTAGTTGAATGCTTAGCATTAACTTTAGTGGGTAAAGTGTCATTTGTACACCAGAAATCATCTTTTGATATGAAAAAACTTATGGAGGTATAGACTTTTACTGAAGAGTGAATAAAAAATATGTCCACTCTTGCAAGAAAATATTGCCCATTGGCTTTTTTCCAGACATTGATCATGCAGAATTAGCTCAAGATCAAAAATGCACTATCATAATCTCATTAAGACTTATCTGTCTATTTCTATTGAAAATTTCATTTGCATTAGTCTTGAACAAATCAAATTAGGTTACAAAAATACTTTCAAAGAAACCACTGAAAAACTCACTCATGTTTCCCAGCCAAAAACAAACAAGGAAAAGGCTTCCACCTCTCTTTTTTGTCCACCCCTCGTGGAAGTGCCAATAGATATGCTGGTGATACTGGGTGGCTCAAAAAAAAGTGAATGCTGCAAGAACAGATTTTTCTTGCCCCATATTAAATTCAAATGAAAATTTTTGTGGCAGTTAAAATGAGAAGAGATTGATCTTTTGGTTGCACAAAGATCAATGAAATTAGAGGTGAGATACAGAAAGACAAACTTTACATTAGCAAAATTCACATATGCTGGTGAACTGCTGCAAGCAGCCTATCCCAAACTGAAAAATCAAATATATGATTTGATAAAAAAATGAGCATATATGATATTATATGAACATATATGGGAAAATATATCTGATCATATATTGCTATTGAAACAATGGGCATATGACCATAAATGGCAAGGCCATACAAGAATTTTTTAAAAAGTCTGTATGTAAAAGATACGGTGGAGCAGATAATAAATTTGTATAATTTAATGTTTATCTAGTATATGGTGAAGTATATATATCACACCTGATAAGATACATGACAAAATCAGATGTGAAACAGATGAAATTATGACCCTCTTGCAAGTCTCTCCCAAATGTCAAAAATTACTTCTGGAACTAAGTTGAGAATTGATACTTCATTTGTTACTTTTTAGAAAATGCAAAAAACAATTCACTAATATGGAATAAGTGAATAAAAATGTCCATATCAATTTCAAGTTATACAAAGTTTTCTCAGTCAGAACTGTCAAGTTGTACCATCAATCAGGATCTGTCAATTAGTACTTCCAATCAGGGAAGAGGAAAATGAAAGTAATATCACAGCAGTTTCTTCACATCCCTGCCACTCAGAATTGGTTTAATGTGTACTTCACAATGGTAATCACGAGAATGGCCCAATTGTGTAGAAGCCTAAAGCCTGAGTGTCATACTTTTTAAGTAATTAAGTAATGTATGGGTTACTTTATAAGGAATTGCATGCAAGCCAATATGCAGGATTATAACCACTGTTAAAAAGAGCCGCAAAACCTTTCCAGCAGGAAGCATGTAGTACTTGTATATGAAAAGGCCACAAAGTAATTGTTTTTCATATCATATGGTCCTACCATCTAAATTATATATCCTATGTGCACATGGTACAATATATCAAAGTTCTATATACTTAAACTAGGTGTATCATTTGCTGGAGTCCATCCCTCAAATTGTATCATTCTTTTATACAGAAAATATATGCTGCTCTGGTATGTTTAATAGAGTCAACTCTCTATATACTACCACTGTTGTTTTCAGCGGATTTTGATGCTAAATCAAAATGCATGGCTTTAAAATTGAGAATATTTTTCTACTAAATATAAAATATGCACAAACTTTCACTTCAATCCATGCGGAATACACCAACTACACAGCTTTGAAAAATAATTCTATATTTTCCATCCATGATTAAATCCAATGATTTCTTATTTTAATTTAGTATAACTCCTATGCACTATCTGCTCACATTATTAACCCAAAGCACAAAAATTGTTCACAAAGTTTTTCTGACCCCCGACTCATGCACCTCCTTCTAATGGCACACTTCCAATTTTTCCTTCACTCTTAAAACCATTCTTCTCCCCATCACTGAATAGTGAATAAACGTGAACTGTTGGCTGGAGAAGCTGCGCACAATCTGAATGAGATGTTTCCATCCCCCAAAAGAAGAGACAGGATTAGGCCAGATTCAGTGACCCTATACACCCCCCTCTAATGCCTGGAGGTCCATTCTAATGCTAAGATATCCCTCACAATCTATCATGAGATTGAAGTGAGCAGTTGGCAGCCTTAAATTTTATATGCGGTGCAATTATTGCAGCATGTACAGTATGCTTCTTGGCACAATATCGAATAAGACTAATGTAGAATATGACACATTTGTGCAAGTGAAGGTGTTGATGGATGGCAGGGGTGGCGTTATAATGGGGGAGTGCCTATGATAAGCCTATGATGGGGAAGATTCATTCTCAGGAAGGAGTTGGCAATAAGTGAGAGTGGTATTATATCAGGTGGCACTACATTGAGGATTGACTGTATATGAATAATCCTTACATGGATCATATGCTCCAACCATATATGCCTGCATATATGTGCATGCAAATTTCAATACATGATAAATATATGAAATTATAAGGCACAGGTAATTGCATATAACTACCATATATGATCTTTCCATGTGGGATGTAAGAGAATCCAGCAATGCAAGTCCTCAAAGAAGCTAACAATCCACAATTGTTCCCCTTGGAGACTCCTCATTCTATTGCTAGTTCTTGGGCATTTGTCTGAAAAAATGCCATAGAATTAATAGAAGGAAAGAATCAACTTGGCAACTCATCTCTCAATCTCATCTTGCACACCTTGAACTCACATTGAACATGCCTTGAATGGTCCTTTTGTGATGGTGTGTACATTTCTTTAGTCTAATATTCACTGTACCATATCTAATTTCAGAAATTGTATTTTCTTGTGGTTTTCAGCAGAAGAAAGCTTAATCTCTTCTCTTTCTGTCACAGAAACAATTTATTCAAGTTCAATGTAATTCCAGAAGTACCCATTATTATAGTGTTAACTTTTTTATGAGATACCCTGTAATAATTGGGTGTCTCAGAATCATGTCAGCACTTCTGGTCAGTATTTTATACCTCCCATAGGAGGTTTTTTTTTTAATTATAAGCCCAAGTTACATGCTATTAAAACATCATTAGTTGAAAAAATTATGAACTAGCTTTAACTGCTGTACATCTAAAATGTGGTGGAAAATATATGGTAAAAATTTGAATTTGACTTATTATGACTGATTAGGCTAAACTCAAATTTCCACAAGTGCACCAATTTTGAGGGTCAAGTAATTCTGAGTATGGGACAACTGAGAAGGAAAATGCATGCTTTCAAAACCTTCACTGGACCATCTCAAAGCATTTTTCATCCCACCGTACTCACTGATCCTGTGGGGTATTTTTTATAGACCCTATAAATTTGGTGTCATGGTAACAATTCATGTTAGCTGGTGGAAACCAACAGTACCTTGGAACCTTTGGAGTGATTCCCAGCTGTGATCTTGTTTTCTGCAACTTTTGATACATGTGCTTACATGCTCTAAATGCCTTGGAGAGAGTCATAGTAATCTAATGAAAAGGAGGAGGTTTTATCCTTTCAAGATGGTCAATTTAAAGAAGAGAACATTCCCAACAGCATATTAATGTTTTTTGCAACTCCATATGACAGCATAACCTCCTCTTCAGTCAATTTAATTTCAATTACTTCTGACAATATAAGTTGGATATTTATGCATCAAGTGTGCACACTGGCCAACATAATAGAAACTCCCAGCCAAGTATAGTACATCTCAATTAACATTCCAGATTTTTATATTTTGTAAAATTTTGCTGATAACCAGAAATTTATGAAAATTCACAACATATGGAGTATGCCCACAGGATTTATACAGGAAATTTTCAATTGATTCCATGCAGTGATTCTTGAGATACAGCTAAAAAGACAGGGAATGGCAATTTTGATGCTTTCCTCTGAACTGCAGCTCAAATGTGGCATCATATTCCTAAATTTCCATGTAGAAGTTGGTGTAAAATGATGCAGTATCCCATACACATGATGCTTTGTTGTCCATAGCATATATCTGAAATTGCAATGCATTGGTTCTTGACTCATCAAAAAACAAAAACGCATCCTGGTTCAAACAGTTCAACATCATCATCCAAGTTCAGCTCCAATTCCAATCAGAATTCAATGAACAGTCATATGAAGTACGTTAAAAACTGTGGAAGCCTTGTCGAAGTCACAGTGAATAATGACTATGACAATGATTAAATGATTCAATATTGATTAATGTGCTTATCCTTTACATGTCCTGATTTTTCAATTCAGGAAACATACTTTCTGACTTTTAGAACTGCGTATAATCACTCAACTTTGCTTTTCCCGGTGTATCTCAAGAATTGTGGCACCAAATCAACTGAAACTAAGCTGTAGAAAACTTAAAGACATACTTGACATCTGGGGAAAATTCATGCAATATCTGATCATTATATGACCAAATACTAAAATCCCAAAGTGTTAACCGGAACTGGAACTTGTACTTGACTGGGGGTTTATTATTTTGGCCAGTAAGTAAATTCAAGATCACACTAGACATCTTGACTGTCACTTCTTACCTGCACAGTTGATATACCATAGTGGACATCACAGTGACATTGAACCTGCTTGAAGGGTTAACCTTTACATGCTGAATGTTTCCAAATTTGAACAGAGCATGAAAGTGGAAAATTTTGAATTTTGCTATATAATTGAAGAGCATTGAATCTCCCTTTTTTTGGAGTGCAAAGGAAGATTCCATGCTCTTGGAATATGGCATAATTTGAGTTTTTCTGCTGACATGTTCTATTTGAATTTGGAAATGCTTGGCATGTAAAGGTTAATGTGCTCTGTAGAGTTTTACAAAACTGGACTTTTTCATGAAACATTACTTTGAAGTTCTGTGGGACCTAAGTGAGAGCCAAGAGAATGGATATATCTCATTCCTTAATAAGAATAAGTTCCTGTCAAGACCTCAGGTAGTGTTCCATTCATAGGCTACCCATTTTACACTTGGTGGTTCTCAATATAGGCTTTGTCTATAGACCCATTCAAATCTCTGTGACTTATACTTACTATGATTTCATTCTGAAATTTTGGAATATTCATGAATAAAATTCATATTTCATTGCAGGCGAGAAGTCAAGATTGGAGAAGATGGTGCAGATGGCATGGACATTTGTCAATGACAGGTATAGTTCATGATATTCCCTGAGCTTTGAGCTCAAACTATACCGGGTGGCGCAAAAAAAAAGCGTCATGTTTGATGCCTTATAAAATCCATTGTGGATGATCCAGGTTTGTGATATTTTCACATTACGTTGGAAACACCACAAAATTTGTTTTATGGAAGTTTCATGAACCTAAGTTGTCTGAATAAATTTCGACAGTTGCCCAAAATAGTGTCATAAAATGGACCTTTCAGCACACGAGGAAGATGGAGTTTCAGGACCACTTGAATGATTTCTCTACCTTGATGTCATAAATACTGCTTTTTATGCCAGTTCTCATCGTAGTATTCATCACATTGTAGAATAATACTACTGTACATCGTTGCATCAGAATCTATACCACACAGAATACTACGATGAGAACTGGCGTAAAAAAGTGGTATTCATAACCTCAAGGGAGAGAAATCATTCAAGCAGTTCTGAAACTCCATCCACCTCATGCGCACGCGCAGAAGGTCCATTTTATGACTCCACTTTGAGCAACTGTTGATATTTATTCAGACAACTTAGGTACATGAAACTTTCAGAAAACAAATTTTTTTGGTGTTTCCAACATAATATGGAAGCATCATGAACCTAGATCATCCGCAATGGATTTTATAAGGCATTGAACATGACGCATTTTTTTTGTGCCACCAGATTATGATAAAGATTCAAGGATATTTCACCCATAATGGGTGATTTATTTTTTTTCAGGAATCTTGATATTGCAGGGCAATGTTGAAATGTATGTCTTTCACTTGCAGTTTATGCACAACGCTGTGCCTTCAATGGGAACCAGAGATAATTGCCATAGCCATGATATACTTAGCCTGCAAGCTTTGCAAGTTTGATGCTGGTGACTGGATTGGGAAAACTCCCAAGCAGACACGATGGTGGGATATGTTTGTGGTTGATGTGAAGAATGAGCTGCTAGATGGTAAGTTTAGAAACTTTCTATAGTGGCTCTCATGTCCCATTTAATCAATCACGACTGGAGTGAAGTTGTGACCTTTAGACTGCCTTTCTTAAATACTTATTCCCTGGTACTTATTTTAAATTGGAGTAGAGAGAGGAAGAGAAAGAAGAAATAGCAATACAGGACTCTTCCTTTTGGCCAACTATAAAATTAGAATTCTCTAGCTGTTTTTGCATCATATTTGCATTCTTCATGTATGCAGAAATCTGGAAAACATTTTTATTTCCTGGTGATGAAGTAATGCTGGTGGCTCAAAATACCTTCATGGTATCCAAGTTTCAGCTTTTGTGTACTGGGTATGATACTTGTATCTTTACCATGTACAGGAGTTCCTTTACATGACAACAATGCTTGCAACAAACCCTAAAGTGATACAGTAAGATTTCAGTAGAATTGCTTATAGGAATGTCTATAAGTCTGGTGGTGTACAATGTAGAAATTGCATCCCTTAATTGCATGATGCCAGCTTAACATCTCAATGAGTTGATTGTCTAACATTTTCTTATTTCTAAGAGTGATGACCAAATGCCACCAATCTGCATCCAACCTCTCACACAAGCAGAAAATGGATCAGGACCTTAGATGACCAGATCACAATCTCAGTCAATGCCTGAAATTCAGATAACTTTAGAAACTATGCAATCTGCATGAATTTTCCAACAATAAGCATGAGATGTAGTGAGAAAAATTGATTGTGCCAACCTGTTCAGTGATCAGATTTCTCTTATTTATATTTTTCATGTCCTCTATTCATTTTGGTTTAGTTTGAAGAAAAAACAAAGAGATTAGTATTTGTGGCTTTTAATATTAATAGTTTTGCTAATGAAAACAGCAAGTTTCATGTAGAGGATATGCATCTGATTTTATGGAATACAATGCAAACCCTGTGAAAATACTAAAATTGCCACCTATACCTTAATACTCCATTGATTGTGAGACTTGGGGTGGATTTTTGAACAGAGAACTATCCAATAATGCAGCTTTATAACACTCTTGGTATCCAATTCTTTGACAAAGACAGACTTTTTTCATTGTGTCCTCTTTGTGCATGCTTTTTATTCAAATTTGGCTGAAGTCCCTCTCAATTTGATTGTAACTGAAGAGTATTTTGACAGATTTTCAGATGTATGGGAGAAAATATTGACCTCTTTTTAGTCAAAGTTCCATTTGCATAGAGTGGCACACTGGTATGCTACAGATGTTTGGAACATGTCTGATTTGTGTTCTTGAAGCCATGAGCTGATTAGAATCTTTGTTGTGCCAGGAAGTTGATTTTTCCTTTGCCATAATACATAGAATGAGTCACTGATGTGCAGCCTTGTGGGAGAGGTGAGGATGTTCCATCATTGATACACCTAATGATGAACATGTTAAGCAAGATTGATCTTTAGGTGCCCTTTGAGGAACCAAATGAGTAATGAGCTCGAAGTGCAGTCTGGTCTAGATCTCCCTTGGTCATTTTATTTTTGGTTCCCAATTCATGCAGATATCTGCCATCAACTACTGGATATCTACACCCAGCCAACTGAGGAGAAATCTCACCCCAAGTCCCCCCCACCGAAGCCAGTAACACAACAGCCATTGCAGGAAACAACTACTCCACCCCAACTTGCTTCTCAGCCTTCACAGTCTGGCATAACAGCACCCCAACCAAGTATGGAGTTGAGCCATTTGACTATGTGTGCTTATTGTGTGTCATGTCTTGATGCTTTGTACAAAAGGTTTTCCTACTCTTCAAATTGGTTTATTTCAGTTCCAACAGTAACAGGAGTGAAAAAGGAACACCCAGCAGTGGTAACTCCAAGAGGAAGTTCATCTGCAACTCGAAACATTCCAGGACTCTCACCTTTGGACTGGGGTCAAATAGGAATGGATGGGATCCCTCCTTTGAAGAAACCCAAATCAGAAGGTGGAACACCAACAGCTGCTGTTCCTCCTCCCCCAGCACCTACTGCTGCTCCTCCCCAACACCCATTGTACCCACCATCACCATATCAGGGACCTGGATATCCCGCAGGTGGACCACCTCCCCCTCCTGGACCTACAATGTATCCACCTCCTCATTATCCTGGATCCAGTTCAGGTCCACCTGGCCAGTATCCCCCTCCTAATTACCCCCCTCCTCCCCCACCTCCACCCCCATCTTCCAATCACTATCCACCTTATTATCATCCTCCCCCTCCTCCTCCACCTCCAATGCCTATGTTCCCTCCTCATCATTCACAGCATCAGCATCCCTATTAGGTGTATTCTGAGATACTTTCCTTTTCCCTGCTGTTGATAAGACCAGCATTTGGTCTTAGATTTTTGTCATTTTTTGGTATACCTTGGTTTTTAAAAATAAACAAATTCTCCCTCTTCAGAATGAAAGTTCTTTCTCAGTGAATATTGAGTTGAAACAGAGCTGCTTGGTTTTTTGTGGCATGCTCTTGGAGTTAAGTGTCTTTTGGCATTTTCTCCAAACTTGTTTTGATGCAGATTCAGGCATTGCCAATGGCATATTTGTTAGGAATGTACTGATTCTTCAGTCACATATTGAGAAAGTTGATGCATTAGCCATTTTCATGGATGCATGTACAAGACGATAATGAAACTAGTTGACAGATGCATGGCATTCTAAAATGAAAACTATGTACTGCATATCAGTGAAACTTTGGGAGTTGTATTAGTTACAAAATCACAAAAAGAAAAGCATGGCTCATAGGGGGTGCTGCTGGCATGACATCATGTTTTCAGGGAAAGAAATGCTTTATATGGTCCCATCAAGCTCCACAAGTGCTCCCAACCAATCTTCAGCATTACAGACAGCAACTCTCAACATGTTGCAGTGAATGGACTCCACTTCTTTATGAATTGCATTCTTCAATCAATCAGGCATCATCCACTGAGAAGTGGAGTCCATTCACTGCACCATGTTGAGAACCACTGTCTACTATGTCTGACAATGGTTGGGAGTAATTGTGGAGCTTGGTGAGGGTCGTTTTGAGCATTTCTTGCCTTGAATACATGATGTCATACTAATAGTGTTCCCTATAGTGTTCCTGTGCTTTTCTTTTTTGCATAATTTTATCTCTGTCAGTTGTTTTCTTCAAAAATGTCATACATTGCCAACCAACTCTATAATTACCTTGTATAGTATGCCTTCCTTTGTGTAATGTTCACAGGCATCCCAATCCCATTGTATCTCTTACAGAGCAATTAGTATACTTGTATCCTACTGCTGATTGCAGTAAATTTGTTCACACCATAACTTGTAGGTGTGTTCATATACACCTACAAGTATCGCAAATTCATAATAAAAAGTAAATTCCTTTATAATAAGAAAATATTCATGAATGCTAGTTTAGCTAGACAGATCCAATGCATCAATTTCACTGATTTAATTTCTTAGACTGTGAGTTTTTCATCAATATAGCAATTCAATTAAATATTTCTATAATAGGAGATTAACTCTTCCCTTCCTAGTTCCTTTTGAGTGGTAGCTATCATACTGAAGAAATGTCCAGATGTGTTAAGACACTTTGTCTTGGCAGTGATGCAGCAAAACCTCAACTATGTGGGGTATTACTGTGCTTGCCCCTTCATTGATTGCCATCTTTGGATGCCAAGAGAGTATAGCATATATAGTACATATTCAATCCTGAGATCAATATTTTGTATTTGGTTTAAACTAATTCCTTGTAAAACATTTTTTACCTTGTTCTATTCCATTGGAGGGCTAAGATTTATCCAACCTTAGTTTTGAAGTGTATTATTGGAAGTGCAAGGCAAATTAAAAGATAAAAAGAGCCAAAGGTAACACATTAAGCATTCTATTCCTGTAAAGGAATGCAAAGAAAAATTGACCTCACTGGTAAGAAGCACACAAATAACACCCTTAAAGAATTTCATGAGTTTATCTGCTTTCTAAAAAATTTTGAGTTATGTATGATGATTTCTTGGGAACTGCAGAGTTGAATCCAATCCACTTTATCTCCATGTTTTCAAGTACTTCTCAATGTGAAACAAGTAATTCATTCTCCAAAGTGTCATGGCACTCCATTATGAAGAGCATGGGGCAGACCAAGAGATTAGCAAAGGCAGTGGTCATCATCAGAAGTATTTCCTACTTCCATTCTGTCATCCATGATAGTGCCTTGGGAAGGGGGGAGGTCTGGAAGTCCCTGAAACCTCCACCTTGGTTGCACCACTGCCAAAAAATTATGCTGTTTCTTTGTGATGAGTAACATTACAAAATCTCCTCTTTCAGAATTTATGAGGTTAAGAAACTTGGCCAAAATGAAAGATGATAGTTTTCTAGTTGCTGTAAGGATATGAACCAGATGGTTCCAGAAATGTTTCTAACTTTGCATGGCTGCAAACAGAACATCAATTAGAGGTATCAGCAGAAAATTTACAGGGTGTCACATCCTCCATGTGCAAGTGGTCCCATGACAATTTCAATGAGTTAGTCAATGAGAACCCCTGTAGCACCTTTTTTCCCCACACAATGGCAAATTTGTATGACTCGATTTCTTCCTCTGTGCATGAACAGACCCACCTTTGCACAGTCCAGCTGAGTAGGTGTTTGCTGACAGATGTGCTCACTCATATGACATTGCAAGTAAAAGGTCCTGCATTAAAATTGAATATATGACAGGCAGTATGATTTTAAACAGTCATATGTTTTCCATACAGTCCATTTAGCTTTCCTATACATCACATATGTAAGTAAGACCATTCTAGGAAGGTGTGTACTCAAAAGAGTTTGTGAAATGGGCTGTTGCATTTTCATGATGTATGATCTTATCCAGAGTCTGGAGTCATCTATGATGCAGTCAGATGTCCAGACACAGTTTCTTAGACAGGAAACCCCAATCATTGGCGTGCAGCATTGGGAAGTGCTGTCCCAATATATTTTCAGGTCATCAGACAGTATCATCCACAACTCCTGGCACAGGCCACTCTCATTCTCCATGAAAATGTGACGTGCAATTTGAAAAATTTTGTGTGCATGCTCCTTTCAGGATGGGGCTTGAAAGTCATTGAACATATCCATACTCTGACCCATTATGCTTGATCATATTCCATCTGGTTCCACAGCTGAAGAAACTCCTCCATGACTGTCAATTAGAGACACTAAACAGGCTTGTGGCCATTGCAGTATATGTGGTGGCAGATGTTATTCAGCAAGTCCTGATGGCAAAATGTACTGAGAGAACTTTCTTTGAACTCTTGGTTTAATTATGAGGTTGCCCATTCATAAGTGTCCTTGCCCAATTTAAAGTTTTGAAGAAAAAAAAAAAAAAAAAACTGCCACATGCTGCATGTGTAAATTTTTTTCTGATACCTTGTATGGAGTACATCTGCAGCCTTATAAATTTGGGAACTTTTCTTTGGTTACCTGGTACATACAAGATGCCACAATGTAATAGACTTCATGCTCAAGAAAATAGGCATTAAGCAAAACTAGACATGCAACTAGTCTTCCTAAACATTTTTATATCCAGAGACATCTTCCATATGTGATATGACTACTGTTTGCATTTCTTGATATTTAAGCCTCACTCTGGGTCAATTTTCAATAGTGAATGAACAAAGGCAAAGGCATCTTGCTAACTTTCAGAACACAGTTGATGTAGACCTCCATCAATTATGTCAGAGAATCAGCTTTGATGAGACTCAAGAAACAGGACATACTTTATCTTGTCTTTTAACCTCCCCAAGTGTGACTTTTCTGAAAACCAGCAATAGTTCTGAGCAACATATGCTGTCACACACACTTGGGGGGGGGGGAGTTTAATTTGGCCTTCATGTGTTCCCAGACATTTACTGGACACTTTAGGGGCCTTTAGGAAGTTTGTGTCATTTTCCTTCACAAGGTTTGGGTAGCTAGAGGATTTTCCTCTGTACAATTTAGTGTCTGTTTATACTAAGCCTAAATGAAGGGCAAGGGAGAGCCTTAATGTTTTTTGAGCCCTCCTCTGACTCACTTCTCCTTGGAAACATTGGAGATCATCTATATTGTTCTGAAATGCTGAACCTTTTATTAGCTATTGAAAACACCTTTAGAGACTTCAGATTCCCAAAAGGCTCACACCAGCTAACTTAATTATCAAAGGTGGATTGTCAGATGTAGAAGTAGATGAGAAGCTCTGGGGTGTACTTTTTGTTTTTACAAAAAATTGTTCAATATTTCCTGTTGGAGGAGTCTGTCATTTCCTGGTTCCTTATTCATGTAACTGGCATGGAAGTTAATAGTATAAATACTTTTATTAGCCAGAGGGTATCTTGTTACATTCACAGTGTTTCTTTTTCCTGTCACTTCCTAACCCACTTTCCCAACCATGAACAAAATGCAAGAAAACATTCAAATTGATAGCTTCAGAAGGATCTCCTCTTGACAAAAATCTTGCTTTTATGAGTTGTAAACTCATTTCAAGATGTGACATTTCTGGAAATAATAGGAACCAGAGGTTGGATGATGGCTTGTCGACACCTGGGCCGCCGGTGCCTGGCATTTTTTGCCCAGCAGCTGTTAACAGCTAATCAAAAGTCTCATGGCGATGCTCTCCCTTCCTTGGTATGTGATGAACTTGAATTCATCCCCTTCTTAAAAATGTCAGAGTGATGCAGTGATATTATAATCTCTCTCCTGGAAAATAGCTTTTCTGCCGATTGTTGAGTGAAAGTAGAGCTGTGTGCCAGCGAAGTGAGGCACAGGTTGATGACACAGATCGTCCACGATTTCCAGGTTCTCGATCTCGTTGGTCTGAAAAATTGGAATTTGTGGAACCTCACAAATATGATGGGATTCCTGTGTATAGAGTCATGAATGCTAAAGGTCAAGTCATTGATCCAGCCTCTGACCCACACGTATGTGTCATCCATTCTCTGTCCAATGATTTCTACTTGAATTGCTTTTTCCATGTAGAAAATTTCCATGATCTCACAGCTGAATGATGAATTGTTGGTGAAGATGTACAAGGATATGACACTTATGAATGCCATGGATCGTATCTTGTATGAATCTCAGAGACAAGGAAGAATCTCTTTTTACATGACCAATTTTGGAGAAGAGGGGACACATATTGGCAGTGCTGCAGCTCTTGATCCCAAAGACCTTGTCTTTGGACAATATCGAGAAGCAGGTAAGCCAGTCTGCATCATACAAAGACCTCCTCTTGTCTAATTTTTAAGTTCATGAGTGAATATAATTCCATCTTAAATTTTTCATGTCAGGTGTCCTCATGTATCGAGGGTTCACCCTGGATGACTTCATGAACCAATGCTACTCAAATGCAGAGGATTTGGGAAAAGGGAAACAGATGCCTGTACATTATGGATGCTCTAAGCTGAATTTTGTCACCATTTCCTCTCCTCTTGCAACACAGATGCCTCAGGGTAAGGATTATATCTTAGATTCCTAAGCTTCAAGTATGAAGTATTTTTGGGTCAAATTCATTCATAATGCTCCTTGCTGCTATGAAGCTGTTGGAGCTGCATATGCATACAAGAGAGCAGAGAATGGACTGTGTGTCGTGTGCTATTTTGGTGAAGGAGCAGCCAGTGAAGGCGATTCTCATGCTGCTTTCAATTTTGCTGCAACTCTTTCCTGTCCTATCATCTTTTTCTGGTAGATCCTCCTCTGAATGCTGAATTTTCATTCTATTAGACTTCCTTGTACTGGAGCCTTTGTTGACCTTTCTTATTCTAGCCGCAACAACGGCTATGCTATATCTACACCTACTCAGGAGCAGTATGCAGGTGATGGGATTGCAGGAAGAGGACCTGCTTATGGCATCACTTCAATTCGAGTTGATGGCAATGATGTGCTTGCTGTATACAATGTCACCAAAGAGGCCAGGCGCATAGCTGTTGAAGAGATGCGACCTGTTCTCGTTGAAGCCATGACTTACAGGTCTTCCTTTTTTTATTTACTCAACCTGAGATAGAGAAATAATAGTCTTCTTTTCCCCCATGACCCTGAACCTCTTGAATGATGTGATTGTGGCATCTAGGATAGGACATCACAGCACCTCAGATGACAGTAGTGCTTATAGAAGTGTGGATGAGGTAAGAAGTTGGAGTGAACAGGATCATCCCATTACAAAAATGAGGTACTATTTAGAACAGAAGAATCTCTGGAATGAAAAGCAAGAGGAGGAATGGAAAAGTTCTTCTAAGAAACAGGTCAGCCAACAAATATTCAAAAGCACTGATATCATCTACTGTATCTTTCTCTGTGGTTTTCAAAGCATGGTTTTTCCTTCCCTTTTTCCCTGAAGATCTTGCAAGCATTTGCCCGTGCTGAAAGAAGGCCAAAGCCCCATTACACTGAATTGTTTAATGATGTCTACAAAGATATGCCCCCACACCTCAAGTGAGTCCTCCTTTCTTATGAGTCCAACTGTGTCTGAGGAAATTCTTTAGCATCAAAATAGGACTTGGAATGAGACTTGAAGGTTCATTTTTCAAAGTGCCCTCTTAACAAGATAGACGAATGAGTCATTAGTTGTGCAATATGGTCATATATTGTCAAAAGGCCTACTCTTGTTGGCCATGTTGACCATAAATGACCATCTTAACCATATTGAGTAACAACCAATTCCTAATGAAATACTGAAGAAAACCATTCAAATAGTCCCATTATAAATAGTCCCTCATTTTACTGCTGAATCCATAGTGCATTAACCCCTTACTGCAGGAATTTTTCTTTTATTGTGAAAATGTATATATGCAACATTTTTATATGCAGCAAAGGTAGTGTTTCCTTAAGTTGGTGAACAGAAGACTGCACATTACTGCTTGTAAAAGTTTGTGTCTAAGACACTGTGTTATGCTATTTATTGAAATAGCTCTAACATCAAGCAAATACCATCAAATTGATAGTTTGTATTGTATTTGACACAGTATGCAGAAAGGGGTCAAGGGAGATGCTAGGCATAGGCATCATGAAGTAGCCTTCAAAAATTGCTTTTTGCATTATCAACTGGATTTCCAAAAATTGCAATAAATATTTTCCCAACTTTTTAAAGTGGATCTTGCTCAAAAGATAGATACATAGATCCACAGTTACACAGTGCTGTATTTTACTTGCTGGTACCAGTCATATGAGCCAAGTGATTACTACCTAAACTACTAACCTACTCTTGCCTTTGCAACCATAAATCAGTTGTAAATCCCTTAGTTCCAGTCACAGTGTGACAAAAATGAGACATGGAGCTTTCTGAGACTTCACATTTTCCATTGGTACCTGTATTGCTTTGATCCAATCACCCCAAGAGGTGCTGGTATTTGAGGTATTTTTTTATGAAATTTGGAGGAGATGATCTATGTAGAGGACATGGCTTCTGGATTACAAGTAGTTGAGATATCTTTTTAATTTAGGAGAATATGAAAAATGTCATTGTATTTTACCCCTTAATCACTGAAAGTAAGCATTTTCCAAATTGAGAGGCATGGCTGATGGTCCAAGAGGATATGTAATTGGACCAGTTCATCCTTTATAAGATCACATTAGGGTTCTTGGGAACATTGTTCCCAATGCCTCCAAAATTTCTTGGACAATATGGATTAGATTGGTGTCCATGTTGGAAATAAAAAGGTGTCAGAAGTGTTTCTGCCTGCCTCTATTGCAAGGAAAGTACTTTTGCATCTTGTGCACACCAATGTTGGTCAACAAAGGTACAGCAGCATGTTCTTTGTGACACTGTCAGGATTCCAGAAGTGAATGCAGCGCTATTGCATTCTCCTGCAGAAGTGAATGCAGGAGTGCTACATTGGCTTCTGCTATCTGAGGAGTGATGAGGAGGTAGAAAGTGCAGAACTTATACTCCATCTCCAGCTCAGATGATCCCATTGGACTCAGCTGGATTTGCACTTGGTGAATAAAAAATTCTCCCAATGGTGAAATCCAATGGTGGATAGAGTGATATCATTGAGTTGGATGTTATAGACAGTGGATAAAATAATATTTATTTCTATTTATAAATAGGTGCAGTTTCTAAGTAAATTTAACTTCCAACGAGCCATTTATCCAATGTCAGGTGATCATCTGTAGTTGATTACCAATGGTTGACAATCAAGAGAAAAAGCATACTTCATGGCAAAATAAAATGGCATGAACTGCTGATGTGAGTGACAAGAACACTTTTATGTCAGCTGCAGATTTCATGACCCAAAAATAATTGTGAACTAAAAATTAAGAGGCTTAGCTGCCAGCATGAGTCTCAGGTTCCTCATTATGCTAGCAGATATGGGTGAGTCTCACATATTAAACAGGCTAGGAAATTATCAGGTTTTCTTTAGTGTTACATTAATGGAACTGCATATCAAGACTCATCATCTGTCAACCTTGAAATAGTTTATTTTAAATGTAGTATTCCTGATCAAGACCAGCTCTGTGTGATAATAGAATTTTTATTTAATGCTTCATGCCAAAAAAAAGTGACATAACTTCTTGAGAGATGGCTTTGGGAAATTTTCTAACCTTTTAATACTTCTTTTCCCCATTCACACCCATGTGCTGATTTTAATTTTTATCATACTGTGGTTTGGAATACTTGCCAGTAATGATACATTTCTAGTGAAGGACTGGACTACAAATCTTGAAGATTCTTGTGGTTCTGTAAAATCTATCTGCTCTCTGCTGCAAGGAGTGAGAAACTTCCATGATGAAGTTATTTCATTTGTAGAAGTTAAAAGGTAAATTATATGCCATGAATATCCATACACAACCATGGTGGTTGTGTATGGATATTCATGGTATTCATTTACAGGTGATCTTGATATCAATTTTTGCAGATAAATTGCATTTAAAATGGCAATTGTATGACAGGGAACAGCTGGAGAAGTGCAAGGAACATGTGGAGAAGTACTCGGACAAGTATCCACTCAAGTATTTTACTGGAGGGAAGTGAAACTCTGCTATTACTTCAGAAGTAAACCAGGGATTATGTGCAATAGAGGTCCTATGATTGGCTCCAACTAGTCACTTGACCTTCTGACTCACTCCCAGCTCTATATGCTTTAGCTTCTTGTCCATGAAGGATTTCCTACATTCATCTTTCTCTTTCTGATGCAAGACATCTCTTCTGAATGAAGGACTCAGTTTTTTCTCAGTGATTTTTTTCAGTATTTTTGGCTGTATTGCAACTGGAGGGGCCACATCTTAACAACCTGGGCTTAGTCGAGCTGATCGTCTCAAGGGGGAGGTTAAGAGGTGGGGGGGTTAATAATCCTGCCCCCTGACTTGGATAGATAGAGTCCTATATCTGAACCTGATATGACATACTGAGATGGAGTTAGTTTAGTTTAGTTTAATTTAACTTTGACTTAAGTTGGTTAATTTCGGTTCGTTTATTTTGTTTTGGTTCATAATACCCTTACAATGAAGTGAACCCTTTCTGGATGGGGGCACCTTGACTGAGCCCCTTATGAGCCGGCAGGAATTAGCACCGAGCCTTATCTCTGTGGCTCCTCCAGTTGCAGAACAGCTGTATTTTTTCTTACCAAGAAAGAGAGTCATGATGAAGGGGGGACTGGATGTTGTTTTCCTGTTTTACCTTCCAGTCTTGGACTTCTGGGTCCATAGTCCTCAATAATGTACTGTATCGGTTCACAATTTGCATGATTTGCTGGTTGCATGTGTTCACTCTGATGATAAAGGAGGAAGAAGAGGTGGCTGTCAAGTTCTCATGTCAAAGTGGTATGGGCAGTAAAGAAGTGGTGCTGAAGGTTTTCCTGTTTGCCAAAGCTCGTGAATTGGTGGGAAAGAAAGAGACAGTGATTGCACTTCCTGTGACTCTCTCAGCCTCTGACCTGAAAGCAATCATCCTTACTAAACTTCCACAATTGTGTGCCATTGAAGGTAACTTTATCCTTGCTTTGAATGATGAGTACTTAGAGGGAGACCAGGAACTCATCCTTTGCCTCACTTCTTCAGACAAATTGGCCATTATCCCCCCCATCAGTGGGGGCTAGAACAAGATTGACCTTAGCATGGATTCTATTGTCCTTTCTGAAGAAGAAATTCTTCATGAATGTGTGACAAAGAGTGTCTCAGATCTCTCTTGTGGGGCTATCTCAGCATTTTTTGGCACAACAAGAGATTCATTCTGTGGGAAGGGAGTTTTGCTTCTTGAGTATGAAGCTTATGTCCCCATGGCAGAAAAAGTCCTCAAGGAGGTTTGTCAGGATGCCAGGAAGCATTGGAATCTCAAGCACATCTCCATCTACCATAGGTGAGGCACACCATCTAATTCTCACTCACTCATAGTGTGATTATAGTAGTTTCTAAAAATGTTTTCTCACAAACCTCTGCAGGTTAGGAGTAGTGCCGATTGGAGAGACAAGTGTGGGTGTTGCCATTTCTTCAGTTCATCGCAAGGACTCTCTGGATGCTCTTCATTTCATCATAGATTCCCTTAAAGCCAGAGCTCCCATCTGGAAAAAGGAAGTATATTCTGATGGATCTGCCAGCTGGAAAGAAAATTCTGAATGCTTTTGGAATAATGCCAGCCAGCAGAAATCCTCATGTCCTATTAAATAAATTTGACCCTTAATGGATGCAAAAGTGTCTAAGTAGTCAGAGAATATTCTAGCATTTAGTAGTGGAAGGCTGTTCTTGACAAGAAGCTCTTCCCAGTTTCTTGTGTTGAGAAGAAGTGCACTTGATTTAAATAAAGGCTTTCATGATTTTGCATGACTCACCCCATAGCCCTTACAGATATTTAAAAAAAAAAAACATTGTATAAATCAGCTTCACCCTGCAATTCAATGAGGTGGATTAATTTTTTGCTAATGAAATGGTTTTAAAATTGAAATTTGGTGCTATGTGATGTACTTGGATATTGACTGGATCATAGCTGAAGAACTCTCTATTATGATGTGCATCACTGCCATGTTCCTATCAGGATGCTTTCATCTCATTTTGAACTGTTTCTTTGTATCATAGTACAGCAACTATTCTGGTTTGCTAGTTTCCTTGGTCATTATAGTCTCAAGTTTAACATGCACCTTATCAATTAATTGCATTCCAAATTGCCGTATATGGCATTCCATTTATTACATAATTCCAGTTATTAGTTTATGGAAAGTCTTGTTGAGTCAGTCCCCTTTGTGATGTTTTTTGCCTGATCTATGATACAATACCTTTTTTCAGTGTGTATTTTTTTCTCTTCTGGATAACTTATGTGGAGCATAGGATTGTTTTGTTACATGATGATTTAGTATCCATTTTCTAATAAAATGTATATCTTCCATACAGATAATACCTTTCATATGAAGAGAATAAGTGGTTTTCACAGAAAATAAAAAGCTATAAAGAGTTTGATTGTGTGGGGTAGTTCTTCTAAAGGTATATTTAAAAATGGCAACAAACCTAAGGAAGCTATCCAATGCTCGCAAGTTGCAAATCTGTCGTCTGTACTTCTTCTGTGAGTTGCTACCTTTTCTTGGACCAGTGTAATTTAGAAATGGAAAGTTTTCAGCCTCAAAGTCAATGTGATGTTTTTCAGTTGGCCTGCCTTTCCTGCCATTTGTATGGCTTGTGAATTTTTTCTGGTTCTTCTGTGAAGCATTCAAGGCTCCACCTTATGATGAACAGCCACAAGTCAAGCGTTGTAAGTATACCTTTTAGAATGATCTCTTTCACAGATGATGAAAAACTAAATTATGCTGTTCTCTGTGATAGGACAATTCTTTGGTGTGACTTTTGCATCATGATTACAAAGAAGTTCAAGCCTCTCTGACAGCCCTAAAAAAGTGCTTTGGGAGATCAGAAGTAATCAGGGAAAACTGCTCTTAAGTGCAAGACAGCACAGGACATCCACATTACTTTTAAGAATACAGATAGGAATTTGGAGGGAAATCCAACCACTTTTGATCACCTTGTTCATGTGGTTGAGGTCAAATGTGAGACTATGGAAAGAAAACCTTAAGATACAGTCTCCCACATGACTCCTACAGTAGGCACTAAGAGCAAGGTCACATAACAGCCTATGGTATAAGTGGGTTGGTTTTTTTTCTTGATGATTGCATTTCATATTCTTAGGGTTCCAGAAGCTATATCAGAGATTACCTTAAACTTTCCTTGCTTGTGTGATTCAAAACTTCCACCTATGAACTTTCCCATTCCAGAGAATAGAACAATTTAAAGTGTCTTTTTTTTATCACCCTGGTTAGATTAAGAACTACTGACATTAAATTTTCTCCCCTTTAATTTTCATTTATTTGAAGATGTGATCATGTCTGGAGTTGGAGCTGTACTCTGGTTGGCACTTCTCATCACATGGATTGGAATTTACCAGGCCCAGCGAGCCTCCTGGGGATTGATGGGTGACAAAATCTCCTTTGTTATCCCTCAGGGAGAACCTTGACCATGCTTCCATCACTAATTTTCCTTGCGCCCACTCATCCCTTGACTTCATTGAGTATTTTTACTTCCACAAAATTCTAAACTGTGATTCGTGAATAAATTGCCTGTCTAAGAAATTTATTCTGATGGAACACCTATGTAGAGCCCTGAATGAAATGTTCCTGAAAGCCTGGTAGCTATTTGAGACAGTTGAGAATCGCAAATTTCACCTCAGTTGCAGAATCAGTGCAACTTGGCAGTCCATGTGACAGCAGAGGGAGACTATTAATTATTCCATCTTTGTATTATTTGCTCTGCTTTGTCTCATACCTAGAGTGTCTCTTTTCGTCATTGAAGCACCAACTATCAAGAGATACATGTAAGTGTGGTGGGGCTACTCTAGTGGCAAGTGACTTACTTTATATCTATTCTACTTATGAGAAGACAATATGAATATTATAAACTCTCATCAGCAATGATATCTTGATAAACACTTTTAAAGGCAGCCTGAGGTTTTTCTCAGAACATCTTATGATTTCATACTTTGCCTGCTTTTTTTTTTAACATGTTGACGACCAGCCTATTTTTGCTTGTCCGCCGCGTGATCAACAGTTCCAGAGGGTATTCATTGAAAAAAAATCTGCATCCTGGCGTCAGGACGCATTGTCGCCAACGTGTTAACCTTACATCAGCACATGTGGACTCCCTTTAGCTGTGTCTGGACCAATGCAGGAGGGCCAAGTCTTGAGCATAAGAGCATAGGGGGGGGACCAGTCATGCCTCCTGAATCTGCCACAGCTCTTGATCATACATACTCAAATGATTTGATTGCACACAAAACCAATCACCTGTGAGGAATCAAGAGGTGGAAGTAACTGCAAATACTGTGATTGAGGAGGCATGGTGGCTACCAATGTGCAGGTTTGGTGTCATCTGAATGTTAACACCAAGATGATTTAACAACCTTGAACACAGGTCCTGATGCTGGTGGTGGAAGTCCACATGTGCCAATGTAATGGTTGTACTCCCACAGGAGAGTATGTTCAGCATGTCCTTGACAATCTGGCATGCTGGAAGCTGTATTTGCTGATTCAAGTAGGAACATTTTAGACTGATTAAAGTATTAAATGAAATATGGATTTTTTACTTTATTCAGGACATTTGAAATATGTGATGGCAGGGGAACTAGCAGATACACATTTTTGTCTCATGTGTCAGACTGTGATAGTGGGATTGGATACATATATTGCCCACAAGAGAGAAGGATGTCGAGATGTGACTGTATCACCAGCTGTCTCATCAACAGATCAGCAAGCATCCACACCTTCATCTTCCCTTCTGTCCATAGGGAACATAGGGCTTTCCCCAAGTCCAATTCCAAGTCCAGTTCCAGTCCTGAATCGCCAAGGTTTCTTTTCCTCCCTGGAGTTGCAGAGCAGAGTGTTTGCACCAATCCAGTGCTTGGATCCATCCAATGTTGAAGAGGACCCTCTGTCTTCAGCTGAGCTCATCATCCATCCTTCTTCAGGAACTCATCGGGAGAAGGCAGATGCCATTGATGCCTATTTGGATGAGATCCAGGACACATGCCCTTCATCTCCTCCACCTCGTAATCGCATCAGAGGCAAGTGGTTACCTGGTTCCAAAAGGGGGAAAAAGAGACTCAAGGGCTTCTATTACTGTGAAGCTTGTGACAAGACACTGAACACAAGGATCTCTTATAAGAAACACTGTGCCACAGAAGCTCACTTTATCAAGAGCAATACTCTCCAGGAACAATCCACCAAGACTGAGATAGTGGTGAAGAAGAGAGTTCGGCGTCTCACACCAAAGATGGCAATTTTGAAGAAGACTCAAGGCTCAACACTGAAACAAGAGATGCAGCTGCAGCAAGAGACTGTGAATTTAAGCCTGTTATGGTGGCGTAAATGCATGAGAGAGAATCGATGCCCCTTGTGTCATTCACAAGAGTTCCAGGAAAAGGTTGATGTAGCAAGTCATGTCATGCAGGAACACATGAAGGATGGAAAACTGGGTGATAGTGAGATGAAATTGCTCAGGAGAAGGTGTTTACTGATCCTTAAAACCCACTTCCTCTTCAGGTGTTCCTTATGTGAGACTTGTTATAAGGACACAAAAGAAGTGGCCTTGCAAGATAGATGCCCTCACTCTCTTGTTTGCCTAGGATGTGATGAAGGGCAAGGATTACATGAGATGATGGGACACATTGCATGGTGTCAGGAGGAACAAATACTAAGCAGCTCAGAGGGAAAGGCAGTAACATCATTGTTTGGGCGGCAGGTCTCCCCTGAAGAGGCTGTGAGAAAGCTGAAGGAGGTGCAAGCTGATGGTGAGAAAGTGAGGCGGTGGCAATGTGACATATGTAGAGCAGAATTCAAGGTCCATCAGGTTGGCATCACCCATGTGATTGTCCAGCATCATGATGTCCTTATCAATGATGTCTCCTCCTCCACTGATGTGGGTCATTCTGATGATGATAATGAAAATTCCAAGAAAGAAACAGAGAAGCAGAAGAGTTTGGAACAAAAGGTGGTATTAAAGAATATCATAAGCAAGACAAAACGAAAGGGACGAGCTAAGTGGAAATGTAGACACTGCAGCAAACGCTATGAGAGTCGACGGCCATATTTGAAGCATCTTCTCCTCATCCATGATGAGGTGGTATGTGTATTTGCTTGTGAGATCTGTGGATATGAGAACACAAAGCAGATGGAGTTAATTGTTCATCGAGTAAAGCATGAACGTGTCCCTCCCCTTGATGTGAGCCAGGACCTCCCAACATCTGCCTTCAACTGCATTATGTGTGAAGATGTCATACAGGAGGAAGAGATCCAACTCCACATGGAAGAGCATTTGAGGAGAATCCCCCAGGTGGAATATGATGGCTTTAGCTTGGTTCCAAAGAATACAAAGTATCGAGGCAGTACCACATCATCCCTCTTCAAATTTATTCCCTTCTACCAATGTTATTTGTGTCAACGGAGGACAATGACTCGGTTGTCTCTCCTCAGGGACCACATCACATCACATCTACATGAGGGATTTCGTGAACGTCTTCCATGTGACATTTGTGGTCTCCTCATCCTCAAAAAGTCTCATCTGATTCTGTTTCAGAATGTTCAACTATCTCTGATTTGCTAGTATCCTTAATGTTTTGATTCCCTACAGGACAATCAGGGCACACCAGAGACTCCACAACTCTGAGTTATTACGCAAATGTCCAGTGGAATCATGTGTATTCATCAGCACATCGGAAGCAATCCTGAAGGCTCATCATGACACAGTCCATGTCCGAGAGGCCAAGTACCTCTGCAACACTTGTGGGAAGTCCTTCACAAATCCGCGTTACCTCACCAAGTTGGTCTCCCATCACATCTGGTAATGATGCCTTTGGCATGATTACTAATTACCTGTTTTTTTTTTTTAGACACATTGCCAACATGCATGAAGAACAAGAGAAGGGAGTGAAATGTCCCCATCCAGGCTGCACATTCACAGGGAACAACCTCAAGAGGCACCTTCTTGTTCATGGTGAACTAAAGCCTTACAAGTGCCCTTATTGTCTCTACACTTGTAAGGTTAAGGTCAGTTTGAGCCTTTCTATAATATTTCCTCTTTTAGTACTTTCTCATTCTGTATAAATTAACATCTTTGCCACTCTATCTGCCAGGAGAACCTGAAGGTGCATATCATGAAGACAGGACTGCACACAGGCAAGTCCCTATACCCATGTCCATTGTGCCAAATTGGCTTCAACAAGCAGCATGACTTTGTCACCCACCTAGTCCAAGAGCACAATCAACAGTTTCCCACGATCAAAGAGGCTAAAGCATATGCTGCAAAAGTTCATGATTCCCAGACTCTTCGTTGACATCATACTTAATCCCAGTGGAACTGTCTTTGCTTGTCTTGAGAAATACATTAGATTTTCTTGCCCTTGGTACTGAACTTTCATTATGGCCAACAAAACATTTTCCATTTAAGGTTGACTCATTCCTATTATGCACAAATGCTGATGCCATTACATGGTTGAACAAGCATACCCTGGCCCCACCCACCAACCACCTGACTTCAATTCATGATGATACTTCGTTCGCATAGGCATTCAATAAATAAATAAATAAATATTATGCACAAAGTCAATCAGAAATTGTAAAAACCACATTTGAATCCACCAAAAAGCCTGTCGACCACAAAAAGATTTGAATCCATGGGAGTATGGTCGGAGGGCCTGTTCTGCACCCCCCCCCCCCCCCCCCCTCATACTCCCAATCCAATCAAGTAATAAGATAGACTTTCACTGCATGAATGGTGTCTTTATCAATTTGTATCATGATACATGCAGGTCAATACATGCACACATCCCTTACATGAAGCTTACAACTTATTTCAAGGCACATATTGGAATGGATTGGACAAAACACACCATTTGGATGAACTTTTTGCTGCATGCATTTGTCACTGCCGCCTTGAGTTGGGAGAAGCAATCCAGTCAAGTGAATGTGCATGCCATTAAGACAGACTTTTTATTACTGCCAGTCAGCTACCATTGCTTAAATTCCAATCTCTTGCACCAACAATTTTCAAAGTTTAGATAGCACAAAAGAAATTGAATAAAAATGAAGTAAAAGATGCTAATTGTGAAATGGTTATTAGTGTTATTATGGGTTATTATCATTGCTGCAGAGCAGACAGACCTTCGGATCCAGGTTTACTGCAAGAAACAAATTGATGTGGTTCTTCCCCTCAAGGATACAAGTGCATAATACAAATACAAGCAGCATAATTATCCAAATCGGATAATATAGGCCCAGTGCAAATCACCCGAGTCATCACAGTGTGTGGGCCAGCCAGGGGCACTTTGGTAAAATTCATCTATGCCATACAAAAGAGAATGTAAATCAATTCAATTGTCACAAAGGAGTTTGGAAGAAGAAAGTTAGGGCTGTCATGATGGCAGTTTTGGAAAAATTTATGCATCAACCAGAATCATAGAAGTTGCATCAATGCAATGGCAAATATATATACATATAATCATTGATGAATGCTGGGAGGAAGGAGAATGGTAATTCCCCTCAGAAGAGGATGTTATGCCCAGTGCAGAGCCCTGCAAGTTAGCCTTTCCCACTCCAGTTCTTCATGCAGCAAGGGGCCAGAAGCCATCACAGGCAGATAGGGGAATAAAAAAATAAATCCAGCCAGTCTAGAATGTCTTCCCTTTGTCTCATTGCTTGCATCCTTTTCCTTCTCTTTCTTGGTCACTTTCCTGGCTCTGTGAGGGTTCCATCATCTATATGCATCCACATATATTTTGATTCTGGCATTTCCATTCTCGGAATGCCTACAGATTGCAATGCTTGATGAAACTATCAATACATCATGACACCCCTAAAGAAAAAACAGTACATACAGATAGAATACACTGGGATGCAAATTATGGGTCCCATATTGACCAATTAACAAGATCACAGATGATCAATATTAGAGACTCAAAGATATGCACAGCAGCTCAATATCGTGCCCTCCTTGAGATCCACCATACTCGGACCTCCTTTTTCACCAGCCGCACCAAGAACTGCAATCGTAGCAAAATTCATCACCTGTGAAGTGATCCATTTAGAGAACAGATAGTGGATTCATGGAATTCTTCAACTTACAAACATGGCACAGATGTCGGAGGCAATGAGCATATAGAATACTTTATCCCAGCCTGTCTTTGTGATCAACCCAGCAAGCAGTGGTCCTATAGCTGCTCCTGAAAATAAACAATATTCCTCACATGAGCTCCAAGTAAACAAAGTATAAATTCATGTATTGATGATGACAAGATTACATTTCACTATTATAGTTTTTGTCCAATCTGTTGGTTTACCTCTGGAAACCATTGCTAATGTCAACTTACTATATTTTACAATGCCTGTCTCATATGAGGTAAAGAAGGAGTTTGAGCCAGCTAGTACTGACCAACAGAGCCAGTTCCATCAATGATAGATGTGACAGTGGCAAGAGCTCGGGAATTTCCTCGAAGGGAATGATGTGTTCCCAGCTCAGCAGATACGGCTGTGGTGATGAGGGAATAAGGCCCATTAACCAGGAATCCCATGAGCACAAGGAGACTAACATTCACTCCAATGCTCACTGACCCAAAGCGATCATAAATGAACATCTAGGATGAAGAATAACAAGAGGTGCAAATAAGTCTTGACCAGAAGAAGGAAAGGAAGCATGGTTGCAAAGGATTTCATTTCTCTTACCAAATGACCAGCTAGGAAGAGCATTGTTGTGCAAACAGATGCACTCATCTGACTCATGTCACTCACAAATCCAGCTGTGATTCCACCAAAGATCCCTCCCACATCAAATAGTGTGCTTACATATGCACTCAAGGTATTGCTGAAGTGAGCTGGAAGAAGACCAATTACACTTGGCTTTACTAGATCAGTAGAACAACAGTAATGAATTCAGAATTCTACTTGCTCAATTCAACTGACCCTTATCTTTTATGTAGCGAGGTAACCAGTAGAGGAAAGTATAGCTGACTAGTTTTGCAAAGAAGAGGCACAAAGAAAACTCAGCTACTCCCTAGAGAAAGGAGAAGCAATATTTTGCAAATACAGCTACAAATCATGTGATCAATAATTTTGCAAAAAGGAAAAGTTGATATGGGCCTACAGGGATTTTGAGGGCATCTGTGAAGCTGATGGCTTTCTCTCGAGACGCTGTGAAGGAAGCTAAAGATGACATTGTCCTTGTGCCCTGTGAAAAAAAAGTGGGATTTACAGACATGCAGGTAATAAAGGTTCTTTCATATACTTGCCAATTTGACAATATGATGGACATGACAGATCCCTCAACAACAAAAAAATATCAGCATCAAGAGAGGGATCCCCTCATGCAATTTGCTGCTTGAGAGTAACATCTGTAACACTCCTTCAAGCCTGGCCTGAGGACACTGTAAGCCTATACTGGCTTACATTGATAGGTCAGGATTATGAATGCACATATACCTTTTGTAATACACTCTTAGATGGTATTTAATTCATTTTTGTAGTATTTCCTCTTGTATTTTCATGAGGGCTATGTTCAATTGACCACTTGTTGATTGAACATTATTGACCAATCATATTTTCATTAATTTCCTAGCTGCACACACATCCAAATGACATCTATGTGACATTACTGCAATGCCATTTAGATCAAGTCACATTGCAACAATGTTGCATGGAAATCACATGTTGCTTGAGTTCTAATCATAAAATGTCATAGTGCTCAAAACTGCAGCCATTTATTTATTCTACAACATTTAAGTCAAGGTGCCTGTTTCATTTTCAAGTTACATACATGCAGACCACCCAGCATCTGTGCTGGGTGGACACCAAGGACACCAAGTAGGCATGACAACAATATGGTAAATGCACATTCCACTATGACTTCTCTTACAATCTGGATGGTGTTGAGTGTGTGAGCAGGGTATGGCTGCTGTTTCAAGATTTGCAGAATCACTGACTTAAAAGGTGAAGGTTAAACATCTAAGGTACTACCTTAAATACATTGATTTAGCATAAGGCCTTTGAGGCCCATATCATACCAAAGACTTAATGACCAAAAATGAACATACATGACCTGTTAGTCAATAACCCACCTCTATATTTTGTAGCAAAGTAAATATGGACAGAGTGTTTTGAACAAATTATTGGTAAGTACAGTGTGGCCATAAAGTCTGGAAACATAAGATATAATGTATAACTTTGGAAATCCCAATTTACTTAATTGGATTCATCAACACTTCAAAAGTCACCTTCAAATCTATATTGATTCATTGGGAGAACATTTTGAACATTTATTTTAGTTTATTTGTACATTATCTTAATATATCCTTAATATGATCCTATGTTTCCAGACTTTATGGCCACCCTGTAGAAGATGGTGTTTAACATGCTTCACTCATGGATCATTTTCAACATCCCATAATTGAGATCCAGCATTTCACTACATACTTGCCATTTGAAAGACAAAAATGAATCATTGCAGCTGAAATTTGTGAAAAAAATTGATTTAGATACATGCAGCAAAATTAGTAAGAGCATTGAAACAAGAATGAAATAACAAATTGCAAGCAATTTGTGTAAATCAGCATGTTGATGGAGCTCAGACATTTTGAACAGGTGATAACAGGAAGGCCATCATTGGTGGCACATTCCAATATAAGGGAGCTTTAAAAGTAGCGTTTTTGTCACTGTATATTGCATTGGAGGTGGATTAATAGGCTTTTTCTCATTGTTCTTCAGGATTCCATTTGGAAATTAATTATTTATTCCCCTTCTCCTCAGAAGAATGTCTTATAACAGCCAGTCTAAAATAGCAAAAAAATATTGTAACTAGGGCTCTCAATTTTCATCAGAAATTGCCACAACCTCTGATGAAATTTTGGTGAAAACTTTCCATTTGATGAACTTCATATTCTGCTGTTCTTTAAGCTTTCAGTTCCCATATTGTAATTTCAGTTGTGCATACATGAGGAATGGAGATGTTTCCTTTGAAACAATGAAAATGAGAATTAATTACACCAAACCATATTTTCCTAATGGCAATGCATTCTTCATTAATTAATTATCAATTTTAGCTTGCTGGAATTGGAATCATATTTGCTAATTCTTCTGCAAATATTCTTCACTTACAGAATGCCAAAAATGAATTACAGACCATCTAAAAGTGGCTTAATAGGTATATAATGCCATCTGCAACAGTCCCACGGGGAGTTGGATCATGAAAGCATCTAGCACAAGGGTCATAGATGCAGTATGCAACAAACCATAGCTTCAGTCCCTGGCAAGAGTGGCTCTTCATCTCCATCAGCAACATGGGATTCTTCATCTCTTTCACTTGCCATTGCAGAAGAGTTAACAAAAGAATGCTTGTTGACCCTCACTCCCTGAAAGTAGACAATTCAGAGCATCATGGAAGAGTAATTAAGGGGCATTGAGGAAGGGATTTTTTTTTTTTAAGGAATGGCCCATACAGAAACCATGAATTGGATTGAAGTGGAAAGAAAAATATCTCACTTTGTCATCATGATAGTCAGGGTCTTCACAGCCAACTTCCTCTGGGGTGGGCACTAATGTAAGAAAAACTAGAAAGCCACCAACTGCTATGATGACACCAGGGATAATGAAAGATAATCCCCAGTCCATATCCAAGAAGATCCCTGCTATCAGTGAGCCAAGGATATTACCAAGAGATGTGTGAGAATTCCACACTCCAAAAATCAACCCTGATGGAAAGAAACACATGTACAGGTAACAATATGACACTTTGTATATGGTTGTTGAGGTCCCTTCTGGCCTTCTCAACTAAATCCCTTGGAAAGACAGAGAAGGGTTACCTCTCTTTTTTCTTCCATACCAATTCCCAACACAAGTAACAACACCAGGCCATCCTGTGGACTGGAAAAATCCTGCAAGGACCTGTAAGCAGACAAGCATACTGCTTACCCTTGTGTTATACAGGATTTGACAGAAAAAGAAAAGGGGCCTTCAATTTTAAACCCATACATCTACACACTAACTTGAAATTTTTTGCACTTCACATTTATACAACATGCATTGTGCAGTGGTGACATGTTCTCAAAAATTATAAAATTTCATCAAAGTCTGAACTGCCAAAGTGAGGTTTTGAGCATCTATTAAAAACCCATCAAACACTGAAAGTGTATTGGAAATTCTAATCCTTTCAGAATGTGGTAACCTTGCCTGCACCTCTATAAAAGTGAACATTGCAAAACCCTCAAGAAATGAGAAAATACACTCTCTGTATTGACACCTTTACCTTCTGGGATGGGGGCTTTCATTGTCAACTGCACACTTCTTTCCAGTAATTGCTAGTATAATTGCTTTGAGAGGGTTAAATTTGAGAAAATTCCAAGGATCTGTTAAGTATGTCTCAGCCAGTGTAAAGCAAATCCTTTGCATAAATATCTCAAACAAGAGTTAAATTTACACATGGGTTAAAATCAGGGGTCTTTTGTTTCCATTGCCTCATGATCATCTTATATAAGCCTGATGCTTGCCATACCTGAATGAAGAGATAGTAGGAGAAGACATGGATCCGGAAATTCCTTGCAATACCAAACATGTATGTGAAAATGCCAGAGAAGATCATCCCCAATGACAGGAAGTAACGGAGATTTACTCGTTCAGCAACAGGGCCACTACAATGGAAGAAAATAACTTGATCACACACACACACACACACCTGGAATGCCCGTTTCAAACTATAGTACACAATCAAAGTTCACAAAATATCCTGAAAAGTAGGCAGGTGCACTCTGGGCTTGAAAATCATGTCAATAATATGCTTTTGTGAAAAATGCACTTGATATTTATTAGAAATTGCCCTCCAAAAAAGATTTGCTACCAATTTTCTGCATCATATTTCTCAGCACTGAGTACCTAGCCAATAAGCAGTACAGCTATATGATTACTTATTACCATTGTCTTATCAAAGCATACGCTAATTATTTCGAGTGCGCTACAAGTTCTTTGATATTTGCCTCAAAATCTGCAACCTTGACATTTACCTTAGAATTTGACCATGCCAGGATAGGGCCTCAGATTTTCATGTCAAAGGACCTATTATGCCTGTTAGACACTGTACAAGCCTCAGGCTTGTACAGTGCCTAACTATCTACCTGAGGCCCTCCCTTTCAGCCATTCATTCACTAAAACTGAACTTGAACAGTGAGCGAATCAAAATCCAGAAAGGATTTTTTTTAAAAATTGTTTGTAAATTTGGGCACCAGGTAGAGTATATGAAGTAAAAAAGAAAATTAAAATTTGGTGTACTTCATGGGCCCTCTCAAATTAAGCATCTCCACAGAAAATACTAGTAAAAGCACAGATATAAAAGTCCTTTACTCAGCCTCCCCATCCAAAAACACATTTTTTCTAGGCAACAAACTAGAAAGACTGTCCAAGGAATAATAGTTCTTTACTTATTCCATGGACTTCTCCAGTGGCTTGAAGAAAATCTGTGACATTCAGATATAACTGACAAAGGCACAAGATAAATTGAAATTACAATTGCTCCCTGGTAAGGATAACTCATGGGCACACCAATGAGCAATGAAGGTGTCATGTTTGGTCATCATAGACATTGGTTTCTATGCAATCTGGGATGAGAAAAACAGGCTCCTTGGGCTGAAACTGCTGAACAAGGCTGAGAAAGGGCATGGGTGGTTCTTGTTCCCTATGAATGTGACAAGACCTATTAAGACATAATTCTCAATGTTAACTCTTTAACTGGGGTACACGTCTTTGGACGTTCGCAAATACTGCATACCAGTGGGATGGACGTCTTTAGACGTTTCCGCAAGTAGGTTCCGTATTTCTGAGAATTTTTTGCTTGGGGTGACTTGGGTGTGTCCTGCGCCCTTATGACAGGATGTGGCTACTCGTCTTTAGCCTTTCCATGTAGCTGTCAAATATCAGGATGTACTTTCTGCCTGATTTGTCAGCTGTTTAACTGCAATATCACTACATGGGAGGAGTACTCGAAGGCGAGCATCATAGAGACAATATCTATCTTTACTATCATATTTCAGAGTGTTTATGTGTGTTTGTCTGTCCTTCATGCACGGCCCCTTTTTTTATCCCTGTCCGACCAAACTTTGTATGGCTTCCTCATTTGGTCCGGGGATGGTCATAGGCTAGGTGGCGTTTCAAAATTCTGACTCCCAGGGGTACCTTAGCGACTTCGTTTGCCTGAAGGGCAAAGTCGCCAGTCTTTAATAAATTTTGCTTTTGAGTGTCGAGAGTGAAGATTCAATTGAAGAAGAATATGAAGAAACATCATATGATGAAAGCAGAGATGACAGAAGCGAAGACATGGAGATTCACAGAGGTGATGATTGTGATGTATTTTCCTGGACTGGGTCCACCTGGCCAAGGAATGCCCGCCCGTTAAATATTCGGTTCAGAACGGAATCCTGATAGATTTTGGTGACAGCAAAAGACCCTATTGTTGTCTTTGAGGCTCTCCTCATTGATGGGCTTGCTGTCGATATTGCAGAGCAAACCTATCTCTACGACAAACAGCGCATAAGAGGATATGCTACTTGTGGTGGACAGCGACTTGGCAGATGGGACCAAGGACTTGGCGGGCCCTAATGGATAGGAGAGAATCGGTCTGCTAATTTCCCAAGGAATTGTGCAGAAGTCTATGAATGGCATGCACTTCAGCAAGACGAGAATCGTGAAGACGCCCTTCTCTGAAGAAGTCCTGTCAGAAAAGCAATTTCAAGGCGAAGGCAAAGACCTTCTCTCTTTCTTGTTCTTCAACAACAATAATTTTGATCCGGTAACTGATCCCAATCCAAGGCTGTTCAAGATTTCCCCTCTCCTGGATTAGGTTGTAAAGTTGTTCCAGGATATATAACTCCCAAACCGTTGAATAGTCCTGATGAACCCCTATTCTTGCGGAAGGACCGAACGGATAGGAAAGTTTGCATCCCCAAGGAGAGGGTCCGCTTTGGTATGGAGTCATACCAGATCAGCGAATCCGCCAATAGGTATTAGTCGAATGTCCTCATATGGGGTATATATCCGGGCAAGATGAGCCTAGCCGATAAGCACACGGTGCCTCAGACACCGATCCCACACTCCCAGTAGGGGAGACCGGGGCAAAGTGGAATGGTAGGTCTTCTGCCTAAACAGAGTGCGCAATTTATCGGAATTAAATTTTTCTGATCATTGCATGAGACAAGGAAACCGGGGCAGCGAACATTTGCCCTCTCAATTTACAAAATTCGTCTAACTCCGGAAAAGGTGCCCTTTTCCTCCTCCTGATGTAATTTCTTACTTCCGTGGATTTTTGTTTTATTTAGAAACTATAACTAGTAGGTGAATACCATAACCTGGAACAGATAGCTGGATCATTTTGTGAAACATCTCAACAATCACTTCGGTTATGGCCATGCCATTTTTCGAACAGCTTGACTTCTTCTGTGGGAGGTACTACTGGGGCAAAGTGGAATGGCTTTCTGATTTGGGTTTCTTATCCATCATTCCATATCTGAATCAGAAGTAATTTCTTATGGGTATTCCAGCATTTAAGTAGTTCGCATATCATGGATGAGCTAGAAGTCACTGTAACACATTTATTATTCATGGTAAATTTATATAAATCTATTAAGAATGCCAGATTTCTGGAAATATGTTAGTTTTATTATCTGAAAGGGAATATACAGAAAGCTCAAATTTGCTCCAGAAGTACCTGATACAGTATTGACTTCATGGAAATTGAGAGTTTGAAAATACATCCCCTCAGGGCACGTTTTTGGGGAATGATGAAATTTTTAAACATTATCAACTGCAGTGAAATTGGCTGATATACTGAGATAAAACTTAATGGAATATGAACTGTTGCCTTTCTCAGTTCAAGAAAAATCCAACTTTCAAGGCATGTGCCTGTAGGGCACTTATATTAGAAAGCGTGGATTCCCATAAATACTTTGCATTTTAACAAAATTTTAATATATGGAAAGCTGAAATTGGGTTGGAAAGTAAATGCTGAGGTGCAGACTTCATGGTTACTAAAAAAAAAAAAAAGTTAAGATGTGCTTCAGGGCACATTTTTGTAGGGAAGGGTCAAACTTCCATTTTTCCGTTCTCCAAAACAGGATGATCTAGAGTTGAAACTCAGAGGACAACAGCTTTTGGCTTTGTTAATCTAGGAAAAACCTGCAAGTTTCAGTGAATAACTTGTGGATACAATTCCTGAGACAGACTATTTGAATGAAATTATTTTTGCAGAAACCAAATTGCAATTGCAAAGCATAAAGTTTGTGTGATTGTGGTTCATGAGATTCTAATTTCAGTGGAAATATTACTTCCCAGCTGCAATCCCAATCGCAATGCAATTAGTGTCAGTCCCTCAGTCCTGTGTGCATTTACAGGTATTTGACAGCTTGATTCTACTCAGAGAGGAGTCGAAGAATCATTTATAAAAGTGGCAGCTGGTGGACTTCGACCTGATGATGGTCATGCTAGGTGATTTTAAGAGTTTACCTATATATGAACTTTTTGTGATAGTTTGAATGATCTAGGTATTTTATCTAGGTATTCCAATGTTTTTACAAGGGAAATTTTTTATTGCCTTTATTTTTATCAGTTCTTACAATTCTGGGTTTATCAGTACCACTATATATAGATCCTTATTGACATTTTGACACATTCGTTGCCATTGGTACTTGACTGTTGAAACCATAGGTAAGGGTTAGTTTAGGTTAGTTTCATTTTGGTTTATTCTGTCTAGTCAAATTAATATGTGGTTACTTTAGTATGGGTTGGTAAAAAAGAATCATCTGTCATCTCTAAGTTGTAAATGAGAAAGTAGGCAGGTGATTCAAATAAAATTGAATATGCATGTAGCATGACCCAATTGAAGTTGGTCTGCCACATTTCAGCTTCTTGGCACTGTAATTATGGAAGTCATGGCTAATTTCTGAGGACCAACGACAAAATGTGCTGTCTAAAATTGGAATAAATAATTGAAGAAAACATGCCCCTGGGTCATGAATTTTTAGAAATCATGTTTTACATTATAATTTCATTGCCTTCTATTTCCCTTATCATTCAATCTGGTCTGAGGTTTGCTTTTTGGGAAATATTCACTTTTCCAATGCAGTTGATTATGCACCAGTATGACCTAACCTAACTTTTTCAACACTTGAAAATTTTAATGAAAAGGTCAGTTACTTGATCTTCAAGTACCCTCCTTAAAAATTACATATGTGGCATTGAAATTGATTTGGGGCAAAAATCCAACTGCATTTGGCTAGAGGAATGTGATTTTGAATATGAATTCCTTTTTAAATTTGAGACAAAATTTTTTTATTTGTGGGATATACTTAGGAAGTAGCTTCTTTCATTGGTGCACATAAATGGGTAGTGAGACTTATTGTTGCAAAGATGCATCTTTACTGAGGCTGCATGCAAATTTTTTGCGACAGATATGTCCAAATTTTGACATTTCCAAACTCAATTTAGATGCTGGAAACTCAAACAGCAGGGACTTATAAATTGAATTTCCCTCCTATTGAAGAGCTCTTGCTTAAGCTTTTGCATAACTCCACACAGGGAATGATCAGTGAGATTAATTTTCAGCCCATTGGATTTTTCTGGGTTTTTTTATTTCTCCTGAAATTTCTCAAGGTGATATTTCAATGAAAGTAGATCCCATAGAGTTAAACCTTTTCTTCTCAAGGTTGTATGCTTGACTGAAATTGTTCAGAATTATTACAGTGAAATCAGAGGTGATATGCGACCTTTTTTTGCTAATATTGCTTGAGTTCATATGGGATCAACAATGGGCATCATCAAGTGAAAAATATCCTAAATTAATACATTTTCTTTCCAAAGAAATCATGTATAGTTAGTTAGGTTCAGGAGGTGTACCAATACCAACCAAAAGTGGAAAGTTCTAATGCAATGGTCAGTATTTTCCAATCATCATTCCACTTTGCCCCATACCTGGGGCAACAATTTGGATGATATCAGAAAAATGCTTGAAATTGCCTTTCCTTTTGTCCTGAGTCAAACTCACAAGGCTTACTTCCTGACAACACATCAGAGTCTACGATGCTGCCTTGTCAATTTATTGCAACATTATGACATGGACTTATTAACAGAAAACTGCCTAGCCATTCCACTTTGTCCTGGTCTCCCCTAAACAGGGTTCCATAATTTCTACTGGTTGTTGTAGAATTATCAAAATAGTAGAGCTCCCCTGTCAGCCTGTGGTGATGGCAAAAAAACTTCCCATTTCGTTGCAAAAAACTACCCAGTTAAGGGGTTAAGGTTCACACAGCAGAGCCAAATACACCTTTTCAAAAAAGAAAACAGTGGTGGGGGATCAATCTCCTTTCGAGGTGGAGTTGTGCATGACCCTCCCCTCTCTTTCATTCTCCCTCCATTGAAGCCCTCATGCATTTCACATGTCTTCTGGATTTTTCATAATTGACGAAAACAAATACAGACATAAATGACAGGCTTTGACATCACAGGAAGGCATGAAAAGCTAAATAGGCAGACATTTTTACTCATTGGGACTCTGGGTTCATTCCATTATGGGTTATCATTCGAGACCCTTGTTCAGTACTTTGTACATATGCACGTAGCATTGCCAACAGTAGTCTGGTGAACACAGCAAGTGCTGTCATTGCAACTTGTGTCAGTGTATGAACTCTGCTGCTGAATTGTCACACTTTGAGCAGCAGCTTCAGCCCTGTCACAAATGGAGATCTGTCTACTACTCAAGATTTCTTTTGATTTCTCCCTTAAATTCAGAGAATGTATGCTCAATGGCTTTGAGAAAGGGATTATATGATGGGCAAGAATTTCATTGAATGATTGCCATAGATGGCTGGCCATATGAGAAAGCATATGGGTAAATGGAAAAGCCAAATGGATTGCATGGCAAATATAAGTCAATACATGACAATAGAGAAGCATACAGCCTCCCAAATATGGCATTTTTATGTGGGAGGAGGAAAAGCTTGGAATGGGGAAACAAAGATCCAAAAGTTCCCATCATGCTGAAAAGCAAGATAGGGATATGGGACACTGTGACAGGGCTAGATTAAAACTGAACAATGTGAAAGTAGGTTTTGATGATGTTCATAACATTGTGACATAGAGGGTGAAATTTAATAGGTAATATAGGATAAAGTGAAAGATACGGTTGAGCAATAATTCAGAACTAGAATTCTGTGGTATTTTTGAGTCTCAATTCTGGAACCATAGGCTCAGCCATTACATGCAGTTGTGGTACTGAAAAAATGGAATAAGGTTCTTGAGGTTAAATGTGCTTCAGCTGCCATCCTCCCCTCAGCTTTGGCTTAGCTAAGGGGGGAGCAGCTTATAAAGGTGCAAGTGTTCCCTCTATCTGACTCATCCACTCACTCCCTTTTCTCAGCAAAAGAGAGGGGTCTGTGCTACAGAAATACTGCAGCACTAGATCCTTGGTGCCAGAGTTGTAACTATTTTTAGAACTGCACAGCCCTAGTGGAAGAGATGCGAGTGGATGGTTGGTTGAAGATGGAAGAAGCAAATGAAGCAATTGAAAAACAGCAGGACCAGTTTAAAGTCTTGCAGACCAACTCAAAATGGAAGCCTTGTAGCAAAATCAGGTAGCTAATGAGCTCTTGAAAGAAAAGCATCAGAAGAGGAGCAGATCCATTTGAAGTGAGGAGAATTGAGAGTGTGGAATGGAAGGCTTTGTAAAGGTGAGTGGAAGTAAGAAATGGGCAAGAATGAGAACACATAGGATTTCAATTGGTCCATGTTACATGTCCATATTATCACCATCCAAGTGTTATGCTCTCTATGACATTTGAATAAAGGCCTATGAATTTCTTTTGGAGTGACAGATGAAAAAAAAATTAGGATCCATGCACATGGTGAGCCAGAAGTAATGACTCACTCTTCAAAGCTTTGGAAACTCTATGGGGAAATTATATGCAACTGTTCCTAAACTTTGGAACAGTAATGTAATTTCATCTAAGAACATGTGTTTGGCAGTCACATTTATCAACAACACATCGACTGTTCAAGAAACACCATAGCAGGTAGACTCTTGAAAAAAGAATTCAATGTGTCAGTTCATTTTCTGTAACAGACAATATTACAGAGTTACAATGCAGAATGTGACAAGTATTATGGGAGCCAGTGCCAATGCAGAAGACAATCATCCACCCAAACAAAACATTTAATGAAATTGGAATTTGGTCAGACAGTAAATGCCTAGATATGCCAAAAAATGCATACAAGGTCTATTCAAAAAGTATTGAGACTGATGCTGTAGGAAACAACATATTTTATTTGCAGGGGCTTTGGCTTAATCTCCTTCAAAGTATGCTCCTTCTGCAGCCACACACTTCTCCCAATGTTTCTGCCATTGTTGGAAGCACCTCTGATAAGCAATTTGTGGAATCGATAAAAGCTGCTCAGTCGCATTTTGTTTTATGGTTTCCACATCACAAAATCTTCTTCCTTTCAAGGTTTTCTTTAGTTGAGGGAAGAGAAAAAAGTCACATGGGGCCATATCAGGTGAATATGCACTGCTGCACTTGTGGGATAAGGTGTTAGGCTAAAAATTGCTTGTTAGGCTAAAAGTTGTGCTGAGTGGGCAGGCACATTGTAGTGGAGTGGGTGTCCAAATCTTGGATGCATCACCATGACAATCCGCCTGCCCACTCAGCATAGCTTGTGAAGCAATTTTTAGGCAAACACCGTATCCCACAAGTGCAGCAGCCTTCATATTCACCTGATATAGCCCCATGTGACATTTTTCTTTTCCCTCAACTAAAGAAAACCTTGAAAGGAAGAAGATTTTGTGATGTGAAAACCATAAAACAAAATGCGACTGAGCAGCGATTCCACAAATTGCTTATCAGAGATGCTCTAAGAATGGCAGAAACATTGGGAGAAGTGCGTGGCTGCAGAAGGAGCATACTTCAAAGGAGATTAAGCCAAAGCCCCTGTAAATAAAATATGTTGCTTCCTACAACATCAGTCTCAATACTTTTTTGAACAGACCTCATATACCCGAGAAAATGTGGCACATGTTGCTGAAGTGAATTTGATCCCCTGCAATCACCAGACTTGAGGGCATCAGATTCCCTCAATTAGAGGTGCCTTAACCCTTTCACCAAATGGGCCAGACATACCCCTAGTATGAAGTATTTTAGGGTATTCCAACAAAGTCACATATCAGAATGCCTGGGACCTTGCTAAATTTACTTGGGCATTGTGCTGAATTGCAAAATTTTCAACACAAGTAATCTCTGGGAATCATGTTATGGCACAGAAAGATCTGCTCAAGTATTCTCAGGCATCACAGTGAAAGGGTTAAAGATGAGGTCCATGCCCACCATATCCATGTACTCAACCACCTACTGGACATGATCATGCAGGAGTTGAACACCATGCCTGCACAGGTGTACCAAAGAGCATGGAGAAAGGTAACAGGCTGTCTGATGGCATAGTCACATATTGGTGATGCCCAGGTGGATCATGAAATGAAGAACACTGGCAGGAAACATGCTACATTTGTTTGGACATAATTTTTATGGGCTATTCCAGTTAATTTTTTTTATATTTTGGCTATATACCTGTAATGCACGTTGTAAGATGGAAACACATGTAACATTACAATGTTATAGCAATATAAGTGTAAGTCATTACTTCTGGCTCAACTTGTAGTTAATTTCTTTCTTAATTAGTCTATCAGCAACCAAGTGCTAACCTTATGAACATTCCAGCAGCATATGCAAAGAGGAAGGCAGAGTCCAATGTTCCCAGTAATTGGTCAGCATTAACACCATCTGAAAAGGGGGCAACTCAAAATGACATCAAATTTTGAAAAAGACATCTCACACTGGATGAAAAGCAAAACGACTGAATCACAAGCTTCTGGGTTAAATGAGAAATTACTGAAGGATTCTTGACTCACCAAATGGGGCCCAGGCACAATGAGCTTCACTGTCAACATTTTGATCTGTAACAGTTGCATGTGGAGTTCCTGTACAATTCTGACCAAGAACATTCTTCACAACACTCAAAGGTTTTCTTGATAGATGATATGAAGTGTAGCATAGAAAAGTCAGCACCAGGACCCAAAACTTATACCTGCAAGGGGAAAAATAATTTCCAGCCTGTAATATCCTGGTTTCAATTGTCATTTTTGTACGCTTTTATGGTTTGTAATGTCATCATAGTCCCCTTTATTCCTGAGTACATTGTACAAACAATTATTAAGAACAAGTTCAGCCAAAGCGGAAATGCTCCAAAGGTGGAAGGAACATTTTCAACACTTCAGACTCCAATGTACTGCACTAGGAGCCAGGGTCGGACTGGCGACCTAGCCCCCCCCCATGATGCAGACTAAGGGGCCCTCCCTTGAACCTGCTGTGGGGGCCCTTTGGTCTGGAGATCCCCCGGGAAATTTCCCGGTATCCCTGTGGGCCAGTCCGACCCTGTTCGGAGTCTATCTGCAAGGAGAATAGTCCCACTATTAAGGGAGTTCAACAAGGTACGGCTAGCTTGAAGAATGGAAAGTTTTCTGGAGTTGAAGAAATCCGGGTAGAAGCATTGAAAGCAATGGGCACCGATGGGTGCTCGTAAGTCAACCCGCATTGGAATCGGGGATTTGGCATTCTTGGATTGGCTCCTCTTTTATGGAGGGGGGGCTTGAGGAAGTGCACCAATTGCCGTGGTACCACTTTTCAGCATGCCAAAGTGCTAGAAACGAGGGCTCGAACAATCGTTGGAGAAGCCATCCAAGAGGAACGGTGCAGATTTCGCAATGGGCACAGCACCACGGATCAGCCCTTCACTCTTCACCAGATTCTCGGGAAACAGTGGAAGTATGAAAAAAAAAAGATGTTTCATCGTACAGGAATATGGGGTTAACGACCAACTACCATGATATATGAATTGAATGACCACGTACGGTCATTCAATTCATATATCATACAGTATTAGTGGAAGTTCCGTTTGTGTGGGCTGGACGAGAGAAGGAAGCTCCACTCGAGAAGACCTGTACAGTGCGCCTAAGGAGGTGAAAGTAATCATTTTGAAGCCTGAGAAGCCGCCCGAAGAAGCCTCAAGCTACAGGCCAATCTCGCTCCTCTGCACAGCATATAAGCTTATGAAACGAGTCCTGCTGGCCCGCATTACGCCTATCGTGGAGGCAGCGTTACTACAAGATCAAGCAGGATTCCGGCCTGGTAGGAGCTGCACCGACCAGGTCATCGCATTTACATCATGCATCGAATCTAGCTTCCGAAGAAGGCAAAAGACTGGAACGGTGCTTATAGACCTTACATCTGCCTATGACACGGTCTACTGCTAAAATCAGTCAAGATGCTGAAATGCCGCAGCACCATGCGTCTCCTTACTTCAATGATGAGCAACCGTAGGTTCCGCGTGTACCTCTGGGATCAGGTCAGCTCAGCCAAGACGCTGAACGATGGACTCCTGCAGGGTTCAGTGTTGGCACCCTCGCTTTCCAATATTTACAAAAGCCATATGCCGCAGACATCATCGCGGAAATTCGCTTATCTCGACGACTTGGCGCTGGTACATCAAGCCAACAACCTCAACCACATCGGTCGCAGTCTAACCGCTGACTTGAAAACAATGGAGGACTACTACAGTGCTTATCGAATGAATTCACCCCCCCTGCAGTGGGCGGTGGCGCTGCTGGCTGTGAGAAGAGAGTGACATCTGTTTTTCATCCCATAAACAGCTAAACTAATCACATTTGCGATCCCAGCAA